GAAGAACTAATGGGTTACAGTGCCAACACTGTACTCAAGTCAAGACAGACAATATATACTGCTATCTACCAAGTCAGTCATTTCACATCACAGATGTTTAACAAATTTGGGCCATGCCTAATGGAAAAAACTTTCTCAAAAAGAGATTAGAGCTAGGCACAGACTTTTTCTGTAGTAGGTCATTGGTTGATGCAGTTACACTGAAGACTGTAGATAACTAAGATGATCAGAAAATATGTTCAAGCAAAAGCCTTTTGTGGAACACTAAATATCTTGTGTTTGACTGTATCTAGCATTTCTGTTCTTCTCATCTGTATTGAATGAGTATGTAATGTACAAGAGAGTACAGTGCGCACAGCCTGGATGAGTTAATGATCTAGGAAAAGCCATACACTTTGCAGAATTTACACAGTTTGAGAGCTTATTTTTTTCTGTTTGAGAACTGCACTAACACACTTTTTCATCTAGCTGTTAAGAATGTTCCATTTTGGAGTGATACTCTCACTGTGAGGTTTCTGGAAGGGTTCTGCTTGGATAGTCAGTGCTCATCTTTTTCCATGTGCCACTTCTGGCCATGAGGCTCAGCTGGAAGTGGGACCACTGTACATTGGGCCAAATCAGGTTGCAATTCACAGGCTGCAATAATGTGTCAAAACAACCAAAACACAAGCTACAGCTACCAAGACAGAGGCAACAGGTGACTCTGTGTCCTAGACTTACTGCACTTTCTGTCACTTCTGTTTAAAGCATGAGAGGAGGTGGCATTGCAAACTATTTTCACTGGTGGCAAAACCAGTTGGGTTTTGTTGGCTTTACCAACAAAACAGATCCTTTCATAATGTTGAAATAATTGCTTTGCAGAAGTTTTCAGGGAAGTTAAAACATATGAAATCACCCACTGGAGATTCATTTGCTTCGGAAAAAGTAGACATCTGGGAAGTGTTTAATAAGGTCACTAATTAAATGTGTTGATAAGTAGTTTAACAATACCCTTTGCACTTCATTTACATGATGTCACTTTGTAGTCAGGTACATTCTACATCACTAAAGCTAACTGATAATCTGATTGGTCAACAGCAAGAGGTATTTTTTTCTGCTCTTCTAATTTATCAAAAACTCAGGTTTGAATAGAGACCCCATGGTCTCATTAACACCTCTCACTTGTATGTCCCTTTCACACTGAGAAATAACTTTGTGCTACCTGTGATTAGAGCTAATGAGAGAAAGTAACGTGGGACTTCATTAAAGTTGTTCTGTCAGAAAAGACACTCTGTAAACAGAAGGCAAGGAGACACTTTGGGAAAGTGACATCTTTGGGTAACAGGATACCAGAGGAAAAAAAAGTTATTTCTGAAACTTTCTGAGCTGGTTTGTGCACAGAATTGACTTATAGGTCAAGTATGAAGAGAAGTGACTTCTAGATATGGATGAAGGTCACCAGAGAGTGGAAATCCCTTGTTACTTTTGCAAGATTTATTAGTGTTGGTGACATCTTGGCTAGACTAGCTTTTAGGTGATCTGTTAGTTTACACAGTGAAAAATTCTTCTACCATTTCCATAACTTATGGTGGTTCTGTGTAGCCATGATGTTTTATGATCTTCTGCACAGTTCATGGGATGGCTAAGGTGGTCCTAAGTGAAGATCTCTCTTTCTGCACTCCCTGGTAAATCAAGATTACCTACTAGCTGCTCGCAGTTTGTGACCTGCTTCATTTTCAGTGTGCTCCAGGGCAAGACCTCAGGGAACTTCATGTGTGCCTCTGGGACTCAACAATCCACCTGTCCCACCACCTTCTCCCACCTGCAGCTATTCAGGCAAACCTCCAGTAGTAGCTCTATGGACCACTACCTAGATCCAAAGACTCATTTCAGGGCTCCTGGTAGTCCAGAGTTGGTCTTTAGAATTTGTCTAAAAGCTAGTTTCAGAAAACTGGCCTCAATGCAATTTTTTTGGTGTCCCAAGAACTTACCCACTTTTCCATAGTGTGAGATCCATCTATGTCAAGTAATCTTCATCTAAGCTACCTAAAAATTGTATCTAAAATTGCCTAAAACTTTATGCTAGAGACTAGAAGATCCTTCTTGGTAGTAAGAAAAGGAGCATCTACAGTGGCAATTCATCTCACCTAAAAATGGATAAGGTGGTGAGATAAAACACCCTTGAAGGTAATGGTTTTTCTACAGTGAGCATAAAAAGAGTTGCAAATGACTAAAGTAGATAAAAGTACTGCTTTCGAGATGTCTAAATTTAGGTTAGATTACCATCAGCCTTCATGAGTGTTGGACAGTCATGTAGAAGCCAATGATTACCAGGGAAAAGCAAGATAAACAGGTGAGATCATACTTTTGTCAGTTCCAGACTCAGAGGGTTCAGTTGTCTTAGGCAGAGGAGGTATTTATAAACCTATTACAATATTGGAATTTATAACAACGCCCTACATAAAAATAAGAGGAAAGAACAAATTAGAACATGGCATAAAAGGAAAAGATGAAGAAAGGTTCAAACTGTGGTCTGTGTGCACATTTTTAAGAGTTGCAAATAGAAGGCTGTCTCTGGTGTTGCCACACATTCTTGAGGTTTTTATACAGCGAATGAAGGGGAAAAGGCAATGTCCCCTTTTGCTTCTTGAAGGGACTACAGTAACATATGCTGAATTTATTAAACATACCTAGAAACTCTCAGATGGTTAACATTCCTCATATGGAAATACCACTTACCTGCAGAGCCCTATAGAGAAGGACCTGAGGGTCCTGGTGGATGAAAAACTGAACACTTGCCAGCAGTGTGCTCTTGCAGCTCAGAAAGCAAATGGTATCTTGGGCTCTATCAGAAGAAGAGTGGCCAGCAGGGACAGGGAGGTGATTGTCCCTCTCTACTCTGCCCTTGTGAGGCCCCATCTGGAGGATTGCATCCAGGTCTGGGACTCCCTGTACAGTAAAGATGTGGAGCTGTTGAGAGGGCCCAGAGGAGGGCCACTAAGATGATCAGAGGGCTGGAACACCTTCCCTAAGAAGACAGGCTGAAGAAGCTGGGCTAGTTCAGCCTGGAGAAGTCTGTGAAGAGATCTCATTGCAACCTTCCAATATTTAAAAGGGGATTATAAAAAGGAGAGGAATCAACTTTTTACTCAGGTAGATAGTGATAGAACAAGGGGGAATGGTTTTAAGATCAAGGAGGGAAGGTTTAGATTGGGTATCAGGGGGAAGCTCTTCACAGAGAGAGTGGTGAGGTGCTGGAACAGACTGCCCAGAGAGGCTGTGGATGTTCCATCCTTGGAGGTGTTCAAGACTAGGTTGGATGGGGCCCTGGGCAACCTGATCTAGTACCAGATCTGGAGGTTGGTGACCCTGCCTGTGGCAGGGGGTTTAGAAATTGATGATCCTTGGGTGTCCCTTCCAACCATTCTATGATTTAATCTATAGTACTACCACAAGAAAGAAGATATCACCTGGCAGCAGTTGTGAATCTGCCATTTCAAGAAAGATCAATATATCTGAATGATCACACAGTTCACTTCAGAAAGCAACATGAAACGTAAGAAAATGAACTGCATCAGTCTGACCTCAATGGGATGAAGAGTAAGAGAATTATGCATTCATTGATTGGAAAGATAGATTTTTTAAATCTCAAATTACTTTATTTCTCCAAGATAAAGTATTGAAGTAGTCATGTTGTCATAATTAAGAATTATCTTCCACAGTACAAAGCTGATGTGTTGCATATTTCAGTCATTGTTCCTTTTTTTGTCATTTTGGAGTGTGCTAACTTACACAATGACATTGTTAAGGAACCTCAGATCCTGTTTTTTTGTGTTTTTTTTTTTGCTCTGCTGAAATGTAGTATCACTGAACTCTTATGCTCTACAGTGCAGAGTGCATCACTGCTCTAAGAGCACAAAAAAAGAAGGTACACATAGAGTGTGTGCTTATCCCAGCAACGAATAGAGGACAACATTTACAGTTGAGCATAGCTCTTACTTCAACATCAAAGTATCAGTTTCACCATAGCACATCTCAGATACTAATCTTTTACTGTCCATTTCCAGAATTAGTCCATGCTCCAACAAGATGTCGCAGGATCAGGCCAGAAGTGTTATTTCCTTCTGTTTGGTGATACGTTAATTCTAGCAAAGCCAGGTCGGAGGCAAAAAAAAAAAAAAATTAGAGAAAATTACAGTCTGTGGGCCTTCTTCAGCCGGTGACCATGTTTTAGTTTTTGACTTATTTGCCTGTCCTTTGAGTCCTGATGTGGCTGGCGGACGTCCAGAGAAGCCACACATAGACTTAATCTTGAGCCTGCCAACCCAGGCATCATCACCCCTTCTGCCATACCTCACAGTGCTCCCACATCCACCCTGTCCCACTCACCCTATATTTGATCCAGATGTAACATTTCTGTAACAGTTCTGTATACAGATTCCTCTCTGGCTGTCACAGCATTGCTATCAGACAACATAACAATATGCTCAAGCCAAAAAAAAAACCAAACATAGCATTGAAAGAGGCAAATGTGAGCATATTTTACATTGAATTTTCATTATGAAAGTATCATTTTCAGGCAATGTCAGATTCAGAATTGCTTTTCACAATTGCTTTTCATTTCTTATGACATGTTTTCCATATCTTAGATTTCATTAAAAATGCTTTTGTCTTCATTAAGCAGCAGAGCCTGTAAGTGACAAACACAAAAGTGAGAAGCACTAATTGAAATGTAAAGAGAAGGACCAGCATGGCTTCTCCTTGTCCCATCCCTCCTCTTTGGAGTGTATTGACATGGCTGTGTATTAGGATATTCTGACTTCTGCACACATACTTAAGGGGAGGGGAAAAACATAAAAACTTTGGGATTTTACTCAAAGGAATCTAAAAATTCAAGAGAAAGGGTTTTTGTGTTAGTTCTAGAGGATGGCAAATATACAGATTTTTTTTTTTTTTTTTTTTAAATCTGTTGTTTAGGAATCACTTCCTAATGAAGAAAAACAGTTAATAAATTGCTCCATATATGTCATATGAATAGCTATAATCAAAACATTACATACTACAATTCCCAGTCTAGAATGAAAAGAGACAAAACCAAATAGTCACTTATCTGTTTAAACCAAATTTGATAAGTGAGCAAACAAATAAGTGTTTTTTCTGTCGTTTTCAGCTCTTGCCTCTGGAGTTGCAGGGAAATCTCAATGCCGTGAAGCCAGCCAAGCCATGTAAAGGATGTTACTCTAAAAATAACTGAGTCCTTGACAAGTCCTGTTGAAAAATATTTCCAAACAGAATAGTCTTTAACGCCCTGCGAAACCAGATGTAAAAAAATGCATAAACAATGGGATTAAATGCAGAATTTAAATAACCAAACCAAACCAAAGCGTCAATGAGAACAGGAGGTGCTGCATAATTCATAAATGGGTCAGTTGCTGTAAAAAAGAAGAATGGGCTCCAGCATATGAGAAATACTCCCATTATTATGCATAATGTCTTTGCAGCTTTTCTTTCTCTGCAGAATGAAATGTGCTTCGTTTCATATCTTTTCTTCCCTTTGCTAACTGCATCAATGGATCTTGCTTGTCTTTTGGCTATAGAGTATATTTTCCTGTAGATGAACAGCATAACTAATCCAGGGATGTAAAAAGACACTATGGATGTGATGACACCTGAAGTTTCACTAAAGAAGACCAAGCATCCTCCTGCACAATGGATGTGATTATAAATCTCTTTTGCCCCTAGCAAATTTAGCTCTAGAAAGATCATCCCAAAAGCAAAAGCAGCAGGGACAGTCCAACTTACTAATATCATGACCAGGATAACAAAAGCATTTATCTTTGATTTGTACCTGAGCGGGTCACACACAGCATAGTAACGATCAATGGATATGAAGGAAAGATGGAAGATGGAAGTTGTGCTCAGCATAATGTCCGTGCTTGTGTGGATCTTGCAGAAGAAGTCCCCAAAATACCAGCAGTGCTCAACAGAGCGCACCATGCTGCAAGGCATGATGAAGAATCCCAGCAAGAAGTCAGCTGTAGCCATGGAAATTATCAGGAAGTTGGTAGGCGTGTGGAGCTGCTTAAAATGTGATATTGAGATGATAACCATTAGATTTCCTATCACTGTGGTCAGGATAATGCAAGCCATGAAGATATACATGGAAATACGGATACTGTTTGACCAATTGCTCTTTACACAAGAACCATTTACAGATTCACAGCACAGCTGCATCCTTACTGAGGGATCAAATCCACACTGCTATGTGGTACGGACTTGTCCTAATGCTGAAGTGCACTTACAGCTGTTTCCTCTTTTTGTTGTGAAGGAAGCTGCAAGAAGAAAAAAAGAGACAATCATAAACACCTTCAACTAGTTTGAATGTGTATGAAAATCACATTTCTTACTTTACGAGGGACGAAACTGTTTTGTAATTGAACTTTTCACAGAATTATTATTATTTTTTTTTTTTCTCATTAGACTTCCCTCAAAGCATGTATCTCATTTGATAAAATAAACTATATAACTGGGGGTCCCCACACCAGAATAGCACTCCAGCCCTGTCCTCACAGAGGCAGCTGAACCTGCTGTTCACCTGGTGAGCAAAAATGTTTCCTTGAGCCCCTGCTTTTCAGACACATGGCAGTGCTTGGCCAGATCAAGTCATTCTGTAAAATCCTGTAGGATCTAGCTGTAAGTAGGCATGTAAGGAAAGAAATCTGAGTAGAGAAATGAAGTTTTCTGACCTTGTACTGCTAAAATGTAATTGAATAGCCTGACTAATCTGAAGCATTAGCTGCTATTTAAGCAAACATCTTTACTGTCAGGCTCTGGTTTATTTCAGTGGTAATAGTTTAGAAACATAGAATCACCAAGGTAGGAAAAGACCTCCAACATGATCCAGTTCAATCATCCACTTACCACCAATATTTCCCCACATCTAAATATCTAAAGATTTCTTGACCATTTTATCATCACTATGTGTAATTGCTGTGTTAATACTGTGTTAGCAAAGAACAGACACAGAGAATTGTTTTCTGAACATTTATCTGCTTCTTTATTAGCATCTTTAGGGTGCAAATATTACTGTCCTCTTTTGTGTGTAATAACTCATCTGTTTTACAAGGCTATTTTTTTTGCAAAAGCATTTCATGAAAGAACTCTAACACTTGGCAAGCAATGTTCATTGTGGTTTTCCTTTAACTAAGAGAAAAAAAAACTATTATTATGAAAAATAAAGAATATTATCCTATTACATTCAGTAGCATTAACATTATGATATAACATAATCTTTTAAGTCTGAAAAGTAGAGCAGTTCAGACACCACTAATATAACTCATTTGCTCTGGGGCTTTGCTGCCTCTGTTTATTTTGGATAAACATACATTTTGATCTTCATTTGTTTTACGGGTAAGGAAATTAAGTATAGTAAAAAAGAATAGAAGGCCGATCAGGAAGAATTAAGGTGTTCTCTTGTTTTCTTTTATTTTTGAAAGATGAATAATTTTATTTCTATTCTCTGACAATGTTACTATCTGCATATGTTCTCTGACAATGCTACTACATAGTATATATATACTACATGTATAGTATATACATAAGGCTATGTGATTTCTCCTGGAAACCATTTATCTTACAAAAAAACCTTATTTTCAGGGAATTTTTCTGTTGCTGTTGAACAGGAAGAATAAATTCCAACAACAAAAAAAATTAAATAAAAGGGTAAACTGAGATCGAGTGTTTGACTTTGCATGGAAAAAAAAACAAAATAAATCAAAACTCCTATGACAAACTGTCCAATTGAGCTGAATATTGAAGAAGTTTTCAACAAGAAATTAGAACACTATCCTTAATTACAAATATTAGTTTAAAATTCAATAAAATGAAAATATGAAGAAGCATACTTTTAAAAACCTGCCCTCCTACCTTTATCTCCTGACACTGGGTAGAAGTCTGCTCCTGATGCTCATTTGTTCTCTGCTCAGTCAGTGGCACCCTTTCCTTTTAAAGATGATCTCAAAACACAGCTGAGCCTCTTCGTCATCATAACTACTCTGGATAGCATGAATTTAAGAGGACTGGCACTCAATCCAGAGCAGCCTCCAGGGTCCCCAGCATATTGCTTGATAACTATTGAGTGCAATGAATCGAGTTCTTGGCCCTCTATTTCAATATGAACAGAAGCTTTAACTATTTATTTTGTCATCTACTCGTCTTTATTTAACAGGCCTTATTTATAGATATATTGAATTCATCTGGAATATGTTTACTTGCTTAATTAAGCACTGTGACCATTTTGTGAGCAGCTCAAGATAAACCAGGAGGCAAACAAAAATCATCATGTAATCTCTCTTCTGTAAGTTCCTAAAATATACCAAATATATACAGGTGGTTTAAAGCAGCATGTAACATTACACTGAAAAGGTATACCACACACAGATTGCCATGACGTGCATTTGTCAGCCTAGTTCTGCTTACACTACTGAGCAAACAGGTTTAATCTGACAGCCTAATCATTTAACAGCTATTTGCAAAATACAGCTAGTAAAAAGGTGTCTAAAGTAAACTCCTAATATTGATTGCACTGGAGTCACTGATGAGGGTCATTAATTTCATGCTCCACAAAGGACCACACAGTCCTTTGAAACAAGGGTGTAACTGGGCATCAAAAACTGGTAATGTGGTGAGCATTAGCTAAAGCCCACACATGCTGGGTGCCCTCAGGGAGATAAAAAACAACATAGGTTAAGATGCCAACTTGCTAACTGTACTCCATGAAGTTGTTTAGCTGCTTCATTATGTTACGTCCACAAAAATCTAAACAAATGCAAACAACTCAGTTCCTTTATTTTCCTTGAGGACTAGGGTGTTATAGTGTAGGAGTTTGCTTGCTATAGAAAGAGTTCACTAACTAAAAAAAAAAAAAATGCACAGTGTGATCTGGAAAAGCAACTCGGATCTCAGAAGCAGCTACCTTGCATCAATCAGCCAAACTCCTACGTCCTCCAGCATCCCAGTGCCATCACAATCAGAGCAGACAGGCTGGAAGGCCTATCTGTGCTCTGAGCAACTCTGCTCCTTTTGTTTTTGACTTACTACCTAGACAGAAAAAAGTGTCTTGTTTCCATATGGCCCATTTTAAAAACTGGATCTCTCTAAGGATAGCCGTGCTAGGAAAACCAACTGCTTGAGGCTGTAAGATATCCTCGTGGCTGAAGAGAATTTTTGAAAGTATTCAACTCCACTTATCATTTATGAAGTTCTAAGGGGAAAAAAAAAAAAAATTTTTTTTTTTAAGTTTCCATTTTTATGTTTGAAATATGCAGAAATTCCCAGTGAGTCATCAATTCAAAACAAGTATTTCACAAGTTGGTTAAATGAAAAGATGTATCAACTACTAAGCTGAATGCTATTGCTGCAAGCAATTCCACTGAGAACAATCTGAAGTTAGATCAGATTTATAGCAAAGGAATTTAAAGAAGAATGGATGAGTTGATTAACCTCTAGATATATTTCCACAATGTATAACCAAAGCATCATTAATCCTTGCCAATAGCTGTTTATACAGGGAAATGTGACATTCATGCACTTTCCTAAAATGCAGTTTTTAGGATCAACCCCCAAAACAATATAAAAGCAAGTCTCTGAGATACACACAGGAGAAAGAGTCCAGCAAGACAAAAGTCTTTCTGCAACAAAGCAAAACACATTCAACTAAAACAAAGAAACCCTCTGCACAGGGAGGGTTGTAAGTACTCCATAGCCCTGCTATTAGCAGACACCGCTCCCACTGACTGCAGCAGCAGGAGGCTCCCCAGGGTGCCCTTCAGCTCAGGACACTCTCCCCTGAGGGGCCAGTGAATTCCCTGAGGCACGGTGTGGAAGTGGAGCAGGCCCTCTGTGCCTCTCTGCCATCCCTGCGCACCCAGCAGTCCCACAACAGTGAACTCATAACCATGGCCAATTTGTAAATGGCCTCCAAACACCACATCCAGTGCAAAGGCAAATGGAGGAGGGAGGTAGGAAGCACGCAGGATCCAGCCAGACCACTCTATGTCATCATGGCCTTGGAACAGCTCCACAGCTTTGCTCTGAATACATAGCTGTGACTGAAGAGAATTTTGTCCCCTAGCTGTTATTTGTTCTGGTGTTGAGAATGAGCAGCTTTTTAAATGATCCTCTGAGCCAACACCAACATCTGATTGCTGTTGATGCTGTTGCTGTTACAGAATGAACACAGGATAACTGCTATCTTAAATGCTCACCATGGAAAATTCATCTTTGAAACAAATCAAATTCCTAATCTAGCAAGTTAGCCGCTCCCTGTAAATGAGAAGGTGAGATGCAGAGACTGTACCTGCTCAGGAGCTACTTCCTCATGACAAACTGGTGCAGCCTGCAGACACAGCACAATAGTGACTCATCTCATGCAGAGCCCACAGCTTGGCAGCTGTCTTTTTATCTGCCTCTGGATTGCAGCCTGATGGGGAAATCTCATCTAGATAATGACGTAGATACTTGCTATTCAGAAAAGATAAGCAGACAATACATTTTGTCTGTCACAAGCCAGTTGCATATGCAAAGATGAACACATCTGAATTAAGTTAAAGTCAGGCTCATGTAAAGATGCATTAAAAAAAATCAACCAACCAACCAACCAAACAAAAAAAACCCGTGTTTATTATGTTCAAAGTCTAGATTAACAGCACTAAACTGTCACTATGGTAATCCGATGTTTTCCATTTCAGGGCCCTACTTTCAATTTTGTTAAACTTTGTTAAACTTTAGGAATTGCAGTTGTCTCGGGAAATGTGACCTGTGTATCCCAGACTGGGTATTTTCAAAAAAGTTCAGTCTTGATACTTCAGCAGTATCTGAGAACAAGACAAGCAAAAAAAAAAAAAAAAGATGCTGTGTCTTCCTGATTGAAATCTTCTGCTTATCCTGTATTTACAATGATCTGGTTTCAATATGCTTTGTAGCAGAGATTTAATAGATGTTGATTGCCCATTTGTATCTTTTTTGCCATCCCACAGGAACCATGTCTAAGTATGGACAAATTATAAATCATCAGTGATCAAATCACAACCTGCTCATTTTTAAAGCTCGTTTACAAGCATCTGCATCTTCTAATAGCAAGAATTTCAGTATTGCTGTGGAGCCCAAAGAAGAGAGTCCTTTTCTGTAAGAAGTAATTCCAAGAGAGAGGACACATTTTGTGTTAGTTTCCATGTGTCAGCTAATGAGTTGCACCGATGGAAAGTCAGCTCCTGCTCCTCTGAGGTTTTTCTGAGTCCCAAGCAGGACATGCATGGCTCAGGTCACAACATCTTTGTGCTCGCTGGGGTTAGGAGGTGGGAGAGTGTGGGACTGGCAAAGTGGCAGAGAGGACATGAGGCTGAACAGAGGGGAAAACTCACAGTAAAATTCTGGTCTGAAGCTGGCTGCTCTACTGAAAGCCACTAAAAAATAAAATTGCCCATAAAGGCATACACATCAATAATCAAATCATGTGGAGCCTCTGTTCTCACACAGTCGTCTCTGTTCCCTTTCACAAATGCTGGATTTGACTATGATTGGTGCATGCTGTTTGCCTAGAAACAGTAAGTAAATTTGAATATTTCTAATTGCCCATGTGCAAGCCCAAATGTCTGCATTGTACTGTAGGCTATTTTTACTGGTGGATGGGAAGTTGGACATGAGCTAGCAAAGTGCTCTTGTAGCCCAGTAAGCCAATCATATCCTGGGCTGTATCAAAAGAAGCATGGACAGCAGGGTGAGAGAGGTGATCCTGCTCCTCTATTCTGTGCTGATGAGGCCTCACCTGGAGTACTGCATCCAGATATGGAGTCCTCCACTCAGGAGAGACACAGACCTGTCAAGGTGCATCCAGAGGAGGGCTGCAAAGATGATCTGAGGGATGGAAACCTCTCCTATGAGGACAGGCTGAGAGAGCTGGGGCTGTTCAATCTGGAGAAGGCTCCAGGGAGACCAAATAGTGGCTTCTCAGGATATAAAGGGGGGCTCTAAGAAAGAAGGGGACAGACTCTTTAGCAAGGCCTGTTGTGAAAGGACAAGAGGAAATGGCTTCAAACTAAAGGAACGGAGATATATGTTAGAGAAAGTTTTTTATGGTGAGGGTGGTGAGGCAGTGGAACAGGTTACTCAGAGAGGTGGTGGATGCCTCATCCCTGGAGACACTCAAGGTCAGCATGGAGGGGCTCTGAGCACCCTGATCTAGCTGTAGGCGTCTCTGTTCATTGCAGGGGTGTTGGACCAGATGATCTTTAAAGGTTGCTTCCAACTAAAATTATTCTATTCTGCTTCAACAGTTGCTTGCTGCTGCAGGAAGTAGCTGCACTGTGCATGAGTGAAGTGACACTGCAGGTGCAGCAGTTCAGCCTGTACAGAAACTACCAGCCAAAGCCTGCACCCTTTCACGTACACCATTTGCTGCCTCATCTCAGGAAGACACGCCCAGGCAGTGTGACTTTTCACCAGAAGAGCTTTATTTACCTCCTCAGCAGCTGCTATATATCATTTAAATATGCTTTTTGAATGTTCAAATGGGAGATAAGGGCCCAGTGGATTCAGTACGTATTATCTGTTAGCAAGTTCCTGCTTGCTAAACATCTACTGCACAATACCAGTGAGACAGGATGTTAGGAAAAGGAGTTTTAGCTACTTAGACATGTCTCTACCAACTTGCGTAACATTTTGTAGGTGACGGCTGGTGAAAAGAAAGCAATATCTTTTTTTCTTTTTCTTCCTTTCTTTAGTATTTTCTTTCTTCCATTCTTCCTTTCTTCCTTTCTTTCTTCCTTTCTTCTTTTCTTTTTTTTTTTTTTCCCTGTAGGCCATTTTGTTCTGAACTGCAGTCTTTATTGTTTCATATTTCTGAACCTTGTAAGTCTTGCTGTCCTGGGTGTCTACATGAACCAATGCCCAAATTGGAGCTTTGTGAAGGTCCCTTTTCTCCTGTCCGTTCTTTCTAATGTTCTCTATCCATGTGGTTCCTCTATTGCCATATGTTTTTAGGTAGGTTATTCCATACCAGTTTTTCTGAAGCTTTCACTAAACATCTTTCTCATTTTTTAGTGCATGACAGGAGCTGATTTTTATAAGTAGCCAGCAATTACAGCTGCAGCCAGTGATAATGATGCTTGGAATATATAAAGTATTTTTGTAATATGAAATATTCTGGCATCTTAAGTTAGCCATCTTAATTAGTGTCTACTGTACACATCATTTTATTTGCACTTCATCTCCTGTTCTACGTGAGAGGATAGACTTTACTCCCTTGTTTATGGAAGTGCTACTATAGCAAATGTTCATAACATATCAAGATACCATATAATGCTAAGCATTAGAAAATCAAATAGAGTTATGGTGTGCAGCCTTAGTGAAAGAAGAGCAGTGATGTATTAGAAAATACTCAGCAGAAAACAAATGGCACTGTAAAAATGCCTTGGTAAAACCCAACTGTAATCATAACCAGTAAATGTTGTAGGAAACCCGATTGAGAGAGTTTGCATGTCTACTTTTCATTTAGTCTAATGCTGAACTTGGAAGAATCCCTTCAAGCAGAGGCTAATGTTAATGTGAATAAAGAATTTAAAATGTTTAGTGTAACATTAAAGAAAAGCTCAGGAAGTTTTCAGCAAAATGAATTTTTAAGCCTGTTGCTTACCAATATGAATGATAAGACTTAAGCTTTTTATTTGTTTTATAACTGTAGCTCTTCTAAATAAAGCCATCCGATACTCTCTAGGTACAGTTAAGTGACATCTGTTATGAAAGGCACCACACATGTACTTTCACCTACATCTGCCAAAGCTTTCTATCTTTCAGGCTAGCTACCAGGAAGTACATCATCATCCATTAATGGCTATACTTCAACAGCTTGCTATTCCATTTTATATCACACTGTCAAACATGTTTGATTTCTGCTCGGACACACATAATTATTTTTTCAAACAGTAAGTTTCAATGAATGAATTATAAAGAGCTTTCACAAATTGAAATCACAGAATATTCTGAGTAGGAAGAAACACACAATGATCATTGAGCCCAACCCCTGGCTCTGGATATAACCACCCCAAATTCAAACCTTATGTCTGAGAAAGGTGCCCAAATGCTTCTTGAACTATATGGAGCTTTATGAACCAGAACTGCCCTGGTTAGAAACCAGAACCTCCACCCCTGGCCAGACCCAGTCAGGTGATGTGAGGGTTATCTTGAAGTATGAACTGAAAAGAAAAGAGAGCTCAACTATCTGAAATCAAAATTAAATGCAGGAAGTCTCTGACTCTGCAGGTGCATGATCAGCAGATGTAAACTGATGTACTGACATTGATTTTAGTAGTAATATAGTAAATTCACTGTCCCCATTTGTCCTTACCAGACCTCAGTGAAAAGTGCATTAGTTTAAGATATCTGGCTCTTAGTGCAGATAAACTGAAAGTAGGAGAGACAGGTGTTAGATAACAGCAATTAGATAAATCAGAACTAAATGCTATATGGAGAACTTAGGATGGTCTCCAACAAGGGCTAGGGAGTATATCCTAAAAAAAAAAAAAAAAAAGTAAAATAGCAAGGATGTAGGCCTAAAGTTCATTCTATTATTTTTGTCCAGCAAATAATGCCTGCTGAAGTAACAGCAGGCACTTTACTTTCCTCAGGGTCTAGACAAACCTGCCGTGAGAAAGATAAGCCTGGTAATAAATAATAAGCTGAATGTCTACAGTTCTGTTCAATCAAAACATCCTGTCTGTATTCCTCTCCAGTTTTAGAAAGATTTTTATAAATTCCGTGTCCATTTGGAGTGCACGAAATACTCAGGATTTAGAGAACCAGCAACCAGTAAAGTGAATTCTCTTTTGAGAATGACACTGATAATCTCTAAAACGACCCCCGATTCTTCTTTTTTTGTGTGTGTGGGGGGGAAGAATGGGACAAGAATTAAAAAGTAATCCTATTGATGCCAACCACTGAAAAAAAAAAAAAAAGCTTTAATCAAGAGATTTGACTGTGGCAAAAAAAAACAAAATTCACATTACACTCATATGCTGCTCTCAGCTGCTCTTCCTTTCACTATATAGGTCTGACAGTTGACTCCAGTGAAAACCAACAGGCCTATGTGGTCAACAGAACGATGCCACAAACCTTCAAAACCAGCACGTTTGTACTTGTTCGCCCTTCCAAAACTGCTGCCCAATACAAACCCAGGTAAGAGGCCCCTAGTGCGTACTAGACTGGCTTGGGGAGCAGGGATGAGCTCCCACTCATCAGCATGGGCTTCTGTGTCTTGAAATTCAGGACCTGTTGCACAACCAATAGCCATGTAGGATTAGTACTGCCACTGGGAAGTCATACTCCTTCTTGACCAAGATTTGTTTGATGACTGTTCTGGGTTACAACCACAGGTCAGGCAAGAAAAGGGTGAGGTGCTGGACAAGCCACTGGGAAGCACAACCTTAAGGCCCTGCATGTTTGCTCCCAAGTTGCATGGTCCCTCCTCTGGTTATAAGCTCATCTGTTTTCTTTTCAGGATGAAACAAAGCCTCAAAGAATTCTCCAAAGCTGGGTACTGAGAAGCAACAGCACAAGGAAAACAGAACTCTTAGGTTTACAAAAAAATTTTGGATAATGACTGTTGGTGAGCTTGAGGTGGGAAGCCATGAAGTGTTTATGTGCCATATTTAGGGCAGATGGATGCTAAACATGGTGCATGCCACATGCCAGGGATGTGAAGAACAGTACATGTAAAAGACTGTGGGATTAACATTAAAGCAGGTATCACCCTAAGGCATATGTGGTCAAACAAGGCCTGTTTGCTACAAAATGTGATAGATACAAGCCAGCCCAGGGCTACTAAGTTTCATGTGCCATCACTAGAAGTCCCAGATAATGCACATTTCTTAAACTACTTGCATGGTTAAAACTGTCTCAGATATTAAAACATTGCCTATTTCCTACATTTTCACAGTTTTGAAGAAATTTTCCAAATATCCAGGGGAATGTTTTGATGTACTACATTTATAAGGTAAGTCTGATCTGAAATGCATTGGACCTAGCATGTGTATGTCACACATGGAAAGCAGTGCAGGACTGTAGAAATGAAGGTTCTTTACGGAGCAGACCCACTGTTTGTGTGGATCATGAAAAACTGCATGGAGATTGCACCTAAAACTATTTCAAATCTATTTTTTGTTTCATTGTATAGTAGCTTGGTCAGAATGTGGCCAAGTCCCACTGAGTATTAGGAAGGCCTTGGTGAATAGCATGTAAGGCTGAGGGACACAGACACTTAGTGCTCCTCCAGTCTGAAAAACAGGAAGCAGCAGAAGGGACAGAGAAACTTCTCTGGGGAAGATTTGCTCGGCAGAAAAGTGGCCAACTTCACATTCCACACATCTCAGCATCAGTCTTATGACTAGGATTATTCTGACAACCTATGTTATATTTTTTAAAAACTATAATAATTTCTAATCAGAGATTTCATATGACAGAGTATAACAAATGTACTGGCTCAAGAGCTAGTACAGTGATGTACTGTTGATCTAGATCCACAACAGAGCGACCACTGCTTTCTTCTAAATAAACTCATCTGCTCCGGCTGCTAAGCAGAAGAATAAGATTGCAGGATATGAATGACACAGGATAACTGCTACAAATCATAAGAAGCTTATGAATCACTGTGGGAAATTCTCATTCTGTCTGTGCTGACTGATTAACATTTAGGGAGTTACATTACAGGAAGCTTCGCAGGGGATGAGGCAGGTCCTTTTCATAACACCTCCCAAAAAGCGTCACTGTTAAGAGTGGTTTTGATGTGCCATTCTTACTTTGCAGACGTCCATCAGACAGTACCTAGTTGAAGAGAGAAAGGATGATACTAATATCCAATAACAGAGTAGCACTACTGCATGGTACAGAGAGGATAGGTCTCTGAGGTCAAATAACTTGATGCAGTACTTTTTAAAGACAATCAAAGAATTAAAAAAACGTGAATCCTCTATCTTGCACATGGAAATACTCTTGCACTTCAGGCACTGGAACAGAGCTCAGACAATTGAAGTCTCATGCTGCAATTGCCCTCCCACATTTCCAGAAAGCCTTTAGAACTCCCTTCAGCTCCATTTTTGTAAGAAAGATCATTTCTCTATCTCTGAAGAAAGTGAGAGGGGCAGTAAGTGGCATGCTATGTTCTCATTAGTTATTAATACATAGTGATGCAGGTTATATACCTGACCAGGGCAGCAATTTTTTTGTTTGCTTGTTTTAAATTGTAGCCCACTAAATCATTTTCAGATTAAAGTAAAGAGAAGTGAAGTCTAATGGCCATGTGCTGCTTTTCTTAGTTACTTTCTACAGGTCAGATTCTCATCACTGTTCTATGTAGACTATGAATATCTACAAACAGCTCCAGAGTGTGCCATTACCTCAAATTCCCCAGGGGCCAGCTGCACACCGCTGTACAAGACTTCTGGAAAGACGTAGTTAGTGCCAAACGTGCCACTGAGGGAGAACATGGCAAACTTGGTCTGTGCTGTCTCTGACGGTTGCCCACAAGTGCTCAGGTCTGTGCTCTTACACTTGAGCAGTGTGCATATCTGTGGGGAAGAGGACACAGAAAAGTAAAATACAGTAAGCTTTCATACTCAAGAGCTGTGTTTAATAGCAAGAAAACTTCTTGTGATGCAGAAACAAATGGATGTTTCGGAATGATTCCTTAATTTTGGCATATAGCTACACTAATCCCTACTGAACAAATTACCTGCCAATGGTATTTTATGACAGAGCCATGAAGCCCATCAAATGCGCCCAGTACATAAACTTCATCTTTACTTTTATTTGACATCTGGTAGGTCAAATGACAGCAGAGGTCTTTTTGACAGACCGTATGATTTCCAGCTTTGTGCTTGAGTTCACTGAAAGTGAATATATCCCGCCGGACAGCTCCTGGAAAAGTCTTATTTTCTCCTGAATAATTTTTGACACTTGTAGCATATGAGCTCCAGTTGACTGCAGCAGGGTAGTTAGGAGAAAGACGGGGTCGTGCACTCAATTCAGCTACCAGAAGACGTCCCTCCTTTGTCTTGCTGTTGTAGTAGTACATGGCTGGCCCGTGGGGCGTGAACAGCCCGCTGCCTGCAAACAACATGCATGGAACCCACTGTCACCATCAGCTGATGGGCGAGCCACCGCGGGTGCCTCATGGGTGTGCTGTGTGTAAACATGAAGCAGTCTTCAGTCAATATGTTAACCAGAAGTGTGGAAGAACTTTAAAGGAGTGAGCTGCTAAAATACACTTCACAGTGTAAAAAAATGACCTAAAATTCAGAGGTTTTTTGTGCTTCACTGGATCTTGAATATGAGCCTCCAAAGGCAATTTCACACAAGGTCATCCTTTTTAAAAAGAAAAAAATATATATATTAATTTTTATATAAATTAATGCTCTGCAAGAAACATATTTGCCAAAGAAGGTGCCCCTGGGCATAATTACTGTTCAAAGAAGGAAACCTAAAGCTGTGGACAAAACTCAGTGCACTTAGGACAGACAAAAATGTTCCTTTGTGGCTTTCATTTCTGCTTTGGGGAATAGTTACAGATAACAACTATGGCAATGTTTTCTCAGTTTATAGAAAAAAAATTGCAGTAACTATTTGTTCAGGTCAAGCCAAAACATACAATTTCTAATTCTTAAGCAGCAACAAAAACCTGAATGTTTTATTCAACACAGAACAGAAATCCTACTTTTTCATTTTTAGCTCTGTTTAAAATACTTTTTTCTTCATTTGATTCTTGAGTAAGTTTTAAACAAAAAAATTCTGCTTCTATGAAAGAGGGTGAATATTTAGCTGAACATTTGTGCAATTTTTAAAGGAAAAATTTCACTTTTGAAATATCAAAATTTCATTTTGTGGATTTTCTGATTTTAGCTGTCCCTGAACTTACAACATTGTATTGCCTGAAGCAGTTTACTCCATCCAATACAACACATAGAATATTTTTACTCTTCTTGACATACTATTTTCCAGAGACTTCATGATTTTTAAATTTTTCCCAGTTCTGAATCCTGTAATACGAAGACAATTCCTCCTTACAGAAAGCAACTCACCTGTCATAGACATGATGGTGTTGTGAGTATTTGCTGACAGTAAATTGACTCCCATGCCCATAGCCCATGCAGAGTGAAACTCCACAGCAGTCAGAAAGGGCAAGACGTTCATCCAGGCTGTTGGGAAAAGCACCGTGTCTACCTGTAGCTCCGTCGCCAGCACCACGGCGGGCTCCCGGAAAAGGATGTCAAAGCAAGTGAAAATGCCAAACTTCCCAAAGGGAGTCTCAAAGGTGATGAATTCTGGCTCTTTTGGGTAATTAAACTGAGTTTCTTGTCTAAACAGGTTGTACTGCAGGCAAAGAAAAAGACATATTAGGAAATAAAAATAAGGCAAGATTACAAAATGCCACTTTAGTGTCTGAGATTAAAGCAAAACTGAGAGTTGAGATTCCTTCAAGTCAAGGTGGGCATCTGTGTCTCAAAACTCCCTTCATAGTCATTAGAGATCTCCTGAAAAGGCTCAGTGAAGATATGGAGCAAAAGTAAGTAAAATCCTCATCCCAGAGGTCTACTGAGCAGGGATGGACGTGTTCCCCCTGCCTGGCTGCAGTGTCATGCCTGGGTTTTCTGCTAGATGCTGCCAAGACATCACTTGGGAAAAGTCTGGCCTGGCCAAAACTACGCCAAAGACTATCTAACATTTACTGAATACATCACTGCTTCCTTCTAGTGTGCTATTGTTAATGTAGCCTTGAGGTGTCTGATAGTCAGCATGCCTTCTGCAGCCACAGTGCTCGTGGGTATAGCTCTTAAATATCGTCAAGTGCTTTTCTGCTCTTTCCTCTAGCTGCAAGAGCCTCGCATTGGAGTGTCCTGGGCTGACTGTCATTCTACAATAATCTAAAATTATTCTATAAACCTTCTGAAATTGCTTGTCTTAGAGATTAGAAGTATTTTGACAGTTACAATGTGATGACAAAGCTTTTCTTTACCTTGTGGTAACGAGCCACCAGTTTACCTTCTGTGTCAAAGACAACATCAGTGTTGTACTGATAGCGACCATCACTCGGGCACTTGGGATCACTGGAATTACATGGCTTCTTGTCCCCGATATTTGCAACTACATAGATGGAGTTGTTCCTGGCCATGCAGCTGAGTCGTTCCTGCACTGGTGCTCGACCAAATCTAAGAGATTTTTGATAAAAAAGAAAAAAAAATATAGAATCAGAGAATGGCTTGGATTGGAAGGGATCATAAAGACACCTAGCTATGGACATACAAAGCTACGGACAAATTTAGAAACCAAGGGAGAGAATCAGTCAATATACAGATATAAACTTAAAACAAACATTAATTTTTAGGGAAATCTAATTCTCAACTTCAAAAGACTTTTTTTTTAAGACTCTTCACTCTGTTTAAGGCTGTAAGTCATTGGTAAAGAGTGGTCACAACTTTTACAGACCTGAGGACTATTGAAATCCCTCTTAATAAAATCCCAGTACAGAAGAACACAAAAGCTTTGCTTAGAGATGACCCTGGTCCCTTCTATGTCCCCTCCAGCTCCACCTTTGTAAGACAGACATTCACAGTAGCCCAGTGTGCCACAGCAAACTGTGCAAGCAGTTAGATCTCTAAAAGTCAGTTATTTCAGATCCAGAGAAATATTTTGTGCAATTTGATTTAGAAATCACCCCAGACACGTGAGCTGAGTTCTGGATCATCCTGTTTCATCTACGCTGAAGCCAGGATAATTTACTAGCTTACAGTAACAGAAATAACAGAAGATTTTCTCAAGTAGTCTGAAGTGATGAGCTTTTTGCATGTTCTCAAAATAATAATGCCATCAAAATTTCCTCATTTTCCTCCTTTTTTAATTTTCAAAATTAAGGCAGTCTCAAATGCTTTTTACCTTGTATGTTCCAATTACCATTTACGTAAGGGTTCTTTCTGATGCATTACATTAATGCAGTACCTCGATTTTTGAGAGAGATTAAAAATCAGGAGTTCTCAGGCATTTATTAGGAGCAGCTCATGACTCCATGAGGCACCAGTTTGAAACCACACAAACACCACAAAAAGAATCACCTTGTGGGATCAGTGCAGGGAATCCAGTTCACCTCTGGATCAGGAATATCCTCCAGGTAGGGGTAAATGGTTTCCCTTGTGAAAACCCAGCCATAAATGCCATCCTCAGGAGTCACAATGATGCGGGCACCCTGGAACAACAGGCTCCATTAAGAAGGCACCCCCGGGATGGTCAGTGGGAACAGAAAACACCAATTAACAACACTCACAATCCATCTCATACCTGCTGGGCTGCTTCCTTGATAGCTCCTTCCAGAACATCCATGTTCCTGTTCATCAGGGCCAAAGCATCGTCGGGAGAAACCTTGTGAATGGTGCATGGCAGGATGACAGCGTGCTCATACACGGCTGCAATGAAGGTGTCCGAGGCCAGGGCCTGCAGGACTGCCAGGGCAAGCACTGCAGCACACACCAGGGTCTGGGAAGGGGCCATGGCTGCTGCCTTGTTGCTACTGGTGCAGGCATGGGAATATAAAGCAGATAGGAAGAGGAGGAGTAAAGATTGTAACAAGCTTGTTTTGGAAGTAAGCTCCTATTGCATAAGATGGGGAAGTACAATCTGTACACACTGCAATACAAACTAACCCTTAAATTGTTCTGACCTTTCTGCCTAGAGCTAAAATATTCACTTGTTTTGTGAAAATAAATTAACATAGAATTGTTTATTTTTGCTATTTTATTAAAAGCATGTTTTTGCACAATAAGCAATTTTAAATTGATCATACAAAACAATTTTTATTCCTCACAAAGAACAATGCTTTGCAGAATATTTTGGAAAGGCACATTTCTACTATAGCTCCAAATGCTTCATAAAAATTCTAATGTTCCAACTTGAGGTATGTCTCTGAGGACAGAACATAATCCTGCTATTCATACTGACTGCTCAGCAAGACATCAAGGAATAGCCTCATCACCCTGACAGTATCTTCCTTTTCACCGTGCAGTTCCACTCAGAACTCATTTTTTCCAGCACTAAGGTCTCATCAGGAGAAGCAGGCATTTCTCTGACCTCTGACAAGTGCACATTGTGCTTGTAGGCAGCTGTAACATAGCTGTCCAGGGCCCAGGCATTAGGAGCAGACAGCACCAAAACCACAGCAGAGACATGAGCCCTCAAAAGCCCCACACCTGAAGACTGAAGTCACCCAAGAGGACAGGAGCAAGCAAAGACAGGGAACTTCAGTAAGGAAGGTCTTGCAGAAACCTGTGAATTCCCCGAGTTCTAGGAAGCCGACACCATATCCTGAAACTCAGAACATCAAAAGCTAGAGAGCTGTGAGCATTGAGCAATCCTGCTTGCTGTGCTGCAGCTGAAGAAACACATCGCCTGCCAGGTTAATGAACTATTCAGACATGGCATTCAAAGCAAACCAGATTGCAGGAGTTTGGGAAATGACAGCAGAGACTGGAACTGACACATTCCTGGAGAACTGCTGGGTGCGGGCAAGGCTGCAGGCCATCAGTGCTGCCATGTGGGCACAGCCCCGCTGCTCCCAGCTCAGGGCCCACTTTGCAGCAGGAATGCCAGCCTGGGCAGGCCTGCACGCTGCTCACCAACTGAGCTGTGAGGATCTCTCATCCCTAGAAAAAAGATCTCTGCTAGAGAAGAGTCACACCTGGGAGCCGTAACTTCTACATTTTGCCTGTTGCACCCTGTTATGGTGAGATCTACAGACCACCCCGTTGGAAATCTTGAAGATTAAGTTACACATGCGCATAAGTCCCTTGTATCTGGGTGCTGTGGTTTCTTACCTTCTTTGTTTCTGAATTAGCTGTCAGGTATAGGAATATGATTTTTTTGCTATACTGACCTGGAAGAATGGTTTATTGTAGATGTCTTTATGCATAGTGAGTTGGTATGCATATGAATGGGTAGATTTGCAGAGGATTTCATTCTGTATGCCTGTTTCATTTCACACAGCAACATATTTTGTGATTATAATTGCTATGCAATCTTTGTAACAAAAAGAATTTAATGGTTTGTCCTGTCTGTAGTCAAGCAACCACTGACTCTTAAGAGTGAACAAGATTTTCATAGAGAGTGGCTCCAGCAGCACTGATGCTGAGATTCCATCAGTCAGAGGACATGGGGCAGGGGTGGGAAGATGGTTTCTGATAAGCAGATCCACACTATTATGTTATATCACATGTGAATATTTATTTGCATTTAAAAGCATAAGGGCTCACGCAGCACTCAATAATAATCAGCGTTGGAGTTTGGATAGTATTTGCATTTCTGACTTCTTACCAGCTCCATAACCAAAGAAAGGAAAAAAGAAAGAGGAATTGGGACTAGCAGGGGTGTCTGACTCCTTTTAAAACACATAGCCACAGGGAGAGATGCACAGAGAGAGACATATTGATACACTGAAGGAAAGTTACTAGGGTCCTGCAGCAGCAGCAAAGCACGGGTCACTCAGGAAGAAGCAAAGACATAAACAGACCCTTCTCATGGAATAGCTGATCTCCCAGTCCCAACAGTAAATGAATTTGCAGGGCAGCACCACCCAGCATTGTCATGAAGCAGCAAAGATAAGCCTTATTTCACATACTCCAGCATTACATGACCAGAAAGAAACCGAGAGGAGGGGAGGAAGAAGCTGTTACATGAAACTAGGCACTTGCTGACCTCATTCTGGCTACAGACAGCTCCAGCACTGCATATGGTACAATCAGAAGCCCTTAAACTCTTGTTCAGAACCGGCAAGCAGAATATACTGAGATTTCAGTCTAAAGTTGTTCAACAGAGATTTCAGAGAAGTGATCATTCAAAGTCAGCTGTGTACAAAAAGAGGTATCAGGCTTTGGTTCAGAGTTGACATGTTGAATGGAATTCCTGCTCTGTCTTCACAATGCACTGTTCTGTGCTGCAGCGTGCCACACAATGTGTGCTGACAACATAAAGACAACAAAACCAAAACAGCACAAATAGGAGAAAAAAAAATCACGTGTAACTGTGGTTAGAAAAAAAAGACCTGCATAAGTCAGCATTAGTAATTGCATACCAGAAAAAAAGAATTATTGAGCTTTTTTGTATAAAGCTGCCATTTATCATATTTTTCACTGCTTTATCTACTGGTCTCAAAATAATTTGCAATTACAAAATTTGCAGAGTTATTTTAAGAAGAATTTATCCTCTAGCCAAAAATACAGGTTTTCTGAGGGCTAGGAAATTCAAAATACAGAAAACAGAGATAAATACAACTGCTAATTTGTAATAATAAAAGACTACTAATATTATAATATAGAAATAGTTGTCAGTAAATGATATCAGTAACGTTACTGCATTTTAGTTAATCAGAACGCATTAAGAAGTTTGTGCAACAGGAAGAAACATAATCCTGATTATTTTGGTAGAGAATAATGCATCTCATTTGGACATGGGATTGTTAGTGTACACCTTCAGTTACAGTAACATCATAGGAAGGCTGTCGGTTGTGGATCTTGTTTCAGAGAATCCTTTTCATACCACCGTCCAAAAAGTGTCACTGTGACAACTGGCTTTGTTGGTGCTGTCTTACTTATCAAACGCCCATCCTTCAATACCTGATTGGCAAAAGGAACAGAAGGATATAGTTAGAGGAATACTAATATGAACAGGTGAAGAGTTCAAAAAGATGTCATAAAACAAGAAGGTACATCAGACCATACCATTTACATCAACTACTAACTTCATTAAATGGTAGTAAATATGTCTGATTATCACTACAAGAGAGTTCACTTTGTTGTGACATAGTTTATGCCGTTACTAGTCCACAGAGAATCTAGCATGAATCAGCTCCGGAGTGTGCCATTACCTCAAATTCCCCAGGGGCCAGCTGCACACCGCTGTACAAGACTTCTGGAAAGACGTAGTTAGTGCCAAATGTGCCACTGAGGGAGAACATGGCAAACTTGGTCTGCGCAGTCTCCACTGGCTGCCCACATGTGCTCAGGTCCGTGCTCTTACACTTGAGCAGTGTGCATATCTGTCAGGAAGGCAAAAAGGAAACATACTGAGCAAAAGGAAAACACTCAGTTATGAAAGCTTTGTGTCATTAAACCTAATACGCATTGGAGCAGATGACTGTCACAGAATCTCTTCCATAGCTTATTCATTCACCCTTTGACCTAATTATAAGGTATACCAGACTTGCACTTTAATAGTTAGAAATAACCTCAGTTTCTGATATAAGCACTGCCAGAGCACCTTACTTTGTCCCTGCAGGCCAGTGGGACTTCCACTGATTCTTCCAACTCCCAATATTCTTGTTTAAAGATTCCTTTCTCACAAGTCTTAATAAGACTTAACAGGTTTGTGAATGGAAATTTTGCGCAAATGAAACAAAGCCCTCCTCCTCAAAGGTATATTGTGTAACCGTACACATTAATGGCATATGTACTTGTTGGTAATGATACTTCAATAGGAGGTCTGGTAGTCCATTGGAATTCTGAATTAGATATTCTCCATCCAACTTCTGTTGAATACTGGAGAATCACACTGAATCACACATCTACTTGTGGGCCCATCAGTGCAGGAGACCTGGACATGCTGGGAAGAATTCAATATAGGACCACAGAGATGATGAAAGGACTGAAGCACCTTTCCTATGAGGAAAGGCTGAGAGAATTGGAACCAGTCATCCCGGAGAAGAGGAAGCTCAAGGGAGATCTCATCAATGTCTATAAATAAAAGAAGGTGCAAAGAGTATGGATCAAGCCTCTTCAGTGGTGTCCAATACCAGGAAAAGAGGCAATGGGTACAAACTAGAACATAAGAGGTCACATCAGAACATCAAGAACTTCTTTACTGCACAGGTGATGGAGTACTGGAACAGGATGCCCAGAGAGTTTGTGGAGTCTACCTCTTTAGAGGTCTTCAAAACCAGCTGGACATCTTCAAATTAGAGAAGAGGAGAATGAGAACTTGTGGTGTGCTAGCCTACAGCTTCCTCAACAAAGGGAGTGGAGAGACAGGCACTGATCTCTGCTGTCTGATGACAGTGATAGGACTCAAGGGGATATTATGAAGCTGTGTCAGGGGAGGGTCAGGCTGGAGACTGGGAAAAAGTTCTTCACTCAGAGAGTGGTTGGGTACTGGCACAGGCTCCCCAGAGCACTGGTGACAGCCCCAAGCTGCTAGAGTTCAAGCAGTGTTTGGACAATGCACTCAGCCACAGAGTTTGAATTTTGGTTGGTCCTGTGTGGAGCCAGGAGTTGGACTCAATGATTCCTGTGGGCTCCTTCCAGCTTGAGATTCTATGATCCTGTGTTCCTATGATATGCTCCTGGGCAATCTCCTCTAAGTGGCCCTGCTTGAGCAGGGGGTTAAGACCAGGTGACCTTCAGAGGTGCCTTTCAGTGTCAACCATTCCATGATTCTGTAATATATGACCATGTAGTGAAGTCAGCATCCTTTGTCACAGTTTTGTATTAGCAGCTGCAGCACAGAAAGGAAAATCATAAAGGTAATGCTTTCCTTTTGTTCTCACAGTTAGTTTTCCAGCTTAAAGCTAATCAATGTTTATGGACACTATGAAGAAATGTGAAATAGGACTAGTTCTCCTGTGAAGATTCAAAGGACATTGGATGGCTATGCTGGCAGGTGATGGAAGCATTTGTAGATTCGTATCAGATACTGGGGAACAGAAAAAGGATATGTGCAAACAACAGAAGTACCATTTTTCAGCAAACATAGTTTCCTACTGAAACACAAATATGCAAACATAAATAATCTAATTCTCTCAATATGTTCTATAGAAATAAAAAAATGCCAATGGAAAAATAAAGTAGAAATTTCTGTCTTCTCTAGAAAATTCACTACTTGTGGAGATTACCTGGCAGCCTCAGCAGTCACTGAAATACATTTTCCAAGTGAGCTCACCAAGAAGTAATTTTATTCAATCTATCTTCTTAAATTTATTAGACAAGCTGTTTGCTGGCTAAGACCTCCCTGCATATTCTGGAGTCAATAGCAGCTGGTTTGTGAAGGTCTTGCTGGAAGAGAGAACTAGCTAACTAAAAGATTAATCTGCTGGTACAATAACTTAATTATGAAGGCAGGGAAGGTTTTCCAATATGGCTTTAGGCAAACTCAGTCAGGATGCAACTCACTGTCTTCCCAAACGGTTGACAAAGAGGAACAGTGGAATTTCCAGTAAAAGTTGTATGCAATTTCAGTAAAATCTGCTACGATTTGAGAGTTAACAACCTTGTGAATCTAAATTATCTGAGTGTTCCAGAAAGATAGAAGATCTATCGATTTTTTAACAGGAGGCATTTGATGAAGATACAAAGGAGATTCAGAAAACTTACTGCAGATACTCAGAACAGAGGACCTAAATTTAGCTCCCTAAGTAGCCAACATTGTATGCTTAAAAAAAAAAAAAAGAGTGGTCTCTGGGAATTAAAAGAAATTTACAGACTTCTCTTCTAAATACCTTTAATGGCAAATGGACTTAGACATTTTAGCTACTGCCTGTTGCTAACAAATAGGACACTGAAGAAAATCATCGTCCTTCCACCACCCCATGGAACTGAAGGTTTTTCTCTGTAAATAAGCTTCCTAAAATAAATAACATACCTCAAAGAGTTATTACCTGCAGATAATATTGTCCTTCAACAACATGAAGTCCATCAAAAGCACCTAGCACGTAAACTTCATCTTCTCGTTTCTCTGCCATCTTGTAGCTCAAGTGGCAGCGGAGGTCTTTCTGGCAAACGGTGACACTCCCCTCAGGCTTAGAGAGCTCAGTGAAAGTGAACTGATCATGAAAGATGAGTCCGCTGAAATCATTTTCATCTGGTAAGCAGCTTTCTACATTTGAAGCATATGAGCTCCAGCTGACAGCAGGAGGGAAGGCAGGAGAAAGGCGAGGGTGTGAATCTAGTTCAGCAATGAGGAGATGCCCATCCTCAGTCTTCATATTGTAGTAATATGCTCTGGCTCCATCTGGTGCGTAAATACCGCTCCCTGCAGAGAGTGGAATTTTTACTCTAAAATAGTTCAAACATTTCATATTGCCCTTTCAATTATTGTCATTGCTAGCTTGTCCAGTATTGTATAAATATTAAGAATTTTTATTCTCACTAAATGTAACCATTAGCCACTCAGTAGTCAGAGATCAGGCTTTGGAAAAAGGTAGCATTTGTTTCACTGCATGAGGTCTGTTTGGTGTAGCTGAAAGGCAGAGTGTCATCGTATGGTTCTGCATCTAGCACCCCTCAGTTCTCTTCTACATGCAGTAGAGTTGCTTGAACATTCCTTCGTTCTTGGCAAGTTGATGTAAAAGGATTAACCACTGAGTAAAACATCATATAGACAAGTATCACAAGCCCATTCTGATGGGCACCAAAAGGGATAGCATTTGTCCAGCCCCGTTTATACCAGATGAAGACTCCTCCATACATGGGAAATTCACATCTGACCAGTCCTAAGTGATGGAGAATCAAATCAAAGAAAATCTGTAACGCTAATCACTGAGGAACTCAGGTAGAAGTGGTAGTACTTCACAATTTGTTTGGAAACAAAGAAAGAAAGGGAATTCCCAGGAAGCTAAGGAAAAGGAAAGAAATTATCACAAGTTTGGTTGGGTCTTTTATGGTGCGGTAGAGAAAGAGTTTACCAAGTTTAAAATTAGAAGACTAATTCCTTCCAAATAAACACATAATATTCCTTTGCATTATGTTCTTTGCAGAACAGGGAATTAAGATTCATAGTTAAAAAGATTGTTCAAAGGAATTAAAATGAATTACCTGTCATAGACATGATGGTGTTATGAGTATTGGAAGCTAGGAAGTTGACTCCCATGCCCATAGCCCACGCAGAGTGAAACTCCACAGCAGTCAGAAAGGGCAAGACGTTCATCCAGGCTGTTGGGAAAAGCACCGTGTCCACCTGTAGCTCACTCACCAGCACTACTGCAGGCTCCCAGAAAAGGATGTCAAAGCAAGTGAAAATGCCAAACTTCCCAAAGGGAGTCTCAAAGGTGATGACTTCTGGCTCTTTTGGGTAATTAAAATGATTTGCTTCTGACATAAACAGATTATACTGCAAAGGAAAGAATAGTAAGAGAAACCAGTTAAAGGTACCTGATACAGAAACTTGGAGTCATTTTGCAAAACTGTTCAGAATGACCAGAGAAAGTTTTTAATCAATGATAGAATGCTTCATATATAGGAAATCAAGCTGGAATACTATGATCACCACAGTGCCCCAAACGTGGATATGGGGAAATATATGTTGCCTTGGCACCTAACTAGAAAAACCACCTGGCTATCTGCTACTCTGTAGCTGTCAGCCACCCGCAGCTCCCATAAAAATAATCTCTCCACTTTCTTCACCTAAGTTTAAAATACTGCTGAATCCAAAGACACATTTCAGATTAATAATAATGGAAAAGAATCTCAGAGCAACTGGTGGGTTGGTGACCTTGATGTGCAGATGCATGTATGAACATGAAGCACAGCAGTATCAAGAGGAAGGACAAGACAGCACAGCACCAAAAAACAGAGAAGGTAGAGGCTGTGGAGACAAGGAAGAGGTATATGATCTCAACTGACAGAAGAATCCAGGTGTGTGACCCTTTCAGCTCTGCAACATTTTCATTTGTCCTTTGGGCTCCCTTAACTAAAGGAGCCCTTTAATACACAGGCAGCTTAGACAATAAACACAGGTAAACGAGCCAGAAAGTGAGTTCAAGTTTACTGAACTTAGCACTTAGCTCCTGCACCATGCCTAACTGGCACACAGGGTTCAGCTTCAATACTGACAGTGTCTCCCTGACCCAGTATGCTCACAAACAAATATCTTGGCATCGCCTGTGAAGAATCAGGTGAAGTACTGGGTTCAAAACACATTAAGTAAACAACTGACTTCAGTCTAGCCACAGCAGCATGGTATCTGGCACCCAGCCCCCAAACAACTTAGAAGAACCTCATAAGAAAGTACATAGAACTGAAAATATATGCTTTCATAAAGTGCAAATGTTTCAGTGTACTCATCTCATTTTACACTCAGCATAGGTTTATAATTCCAGTCATGCAAAAACTGTGCTGAAAATGTGCTTAAACATCATAACAAAAAAACAATAGGAAAGGACTTTTTCTCTTTAAATCAGAGTGTGCACATAAGGTGGTATGCAGATGAACATTTTAAAGTGCTGGAACATGCAGGAAGTCTGGTGAAAAGCTGGCATTGAAAACTAGAGTTGTTCAAGCAGCAGCGTTTCCACTAAATGGGAGTTAACAAACTGAGGCAGTGAATCAACTAACATGGGAACTGTGCAATCACTCAGTTTTCATTCTAGTCTGTTTTTAGAAACAGGACATCAATACAAACTTAGTGTCAATGTTTCACAGCAGCAGAAAGATTCTGCTAAATTAAAAGAAAAAATCCGCAAGAGATAAGTATGCATCATGGGACAATTACTGGCATTAAACTGTCTTGCCAAATAGAGACATTTTGGAAGGTTTGAAAGGCCACTTCTTACCTTGTGGTAACGAGCCACCAGTTTCCCTTCTGAGTCAAAGACAACATTAGTGTTGTACTGGTAGCGACCATCACTTGGGCACTTGGGATCACTGGAATTACATGGCTTCTTGTCCCCAATATTTGCAACTACATAGATGGAGTTGTTCCTGGCCATGCAGCTGAGTCGCTCCTGCACTGGTGCTCGACCAAATCTAACGTGTTTCAGACCAGAAAAAAAAAGAAAAAAGTACTTAAGAAAATACATACTGCTGGTGATGTCCATTGCAGGAGCACTGAGGGCATACAGGCAGCACCTCTGCCCCAGCTGTCATGGCAGGGCAGGCAAACATATAGGGTGGTCGTACAGGAGAACTGTCATGCCAGATACATAGGTAGTACAGAGGAATAGGGCACTGAAAGACTGTGATGGCAGGCACTATAGTCCAGCAAGGCTGCTAATGAAAAACCTGACTTAAGACAATGAAGAGATACACAAATCACCTTCACAAAACTTAATTGTGTAAAGAATTGGAATAAAGATGTGCTTAGACTTGTTGCCACCACCCAACACCACAGTCATTGAAAAAGACTCCTTATATTTCAGTTGCTTATGTCCCAGCAAGAAGCTGCACATCCTGCACTTCTCTCAGCACATATCACCCACTGCGAATATTCCTCTTTTGACCACTGAGGAACGTCCTCACAGAGGTCATATCATGGTCTTAGCACCTCCTCTTTGGGTAGGTGCAGAACGCTGTGGTGCAAGAGTCAGACCATGTCTGTAGTTCTATGGCTGAGCACTTAGCTCATACTGTATGGGTCTGAAGTCCGGTGCTCACCTACACGTAATCACGTTCCTGGTGGAACATGGGAAGATCACATTCTACAGCACAGAAGATCTATCGATTAGGACTTTATCTTATCGCAGTTGTGGAAAAAAGAGACTAAAACATTCTGGGTTTGTATCACTCTCAGATTTACACTTGGACTAATGATCTCATCACCTCTGTCACTAGTTTTTCAGAAAGCTTTTGGCTTTTCACAAAAACTATACACGAGCTCTTATGTGGTCATAACATTTGTAAAAACCAAAACCAACAATAAACAAATGAACAAAGCAAATAAAAATCTAGTACTACAGATTTCTAAACAGTTCAACTCAAGAGAGCATGAAAATAATAAAACCAGAATGAGAATCAGCCTATTGTAGCATCAAATCTTTTTCCAAATGCAACAGAACCCGTATGTTTTTGCCACATTCAGCAACCTAAATTCTGTATGTAGTCTGAATTTCTCTTTAAGGTATCTATTTCAAAAAGTATCTTTTTAAAAGTATCTTTTTTTCTCTTGTCAATTTTATGATGCAATCAACCTTCACATCATAATGAAGTAGAAATGTGCCCTGATGTAAAATGCATTAGCTGTGCTTAGACATTTGTTAGGAGCTCATGACTCCATGAGGCACCAGTTTGAAACCACACAAACACCACAAAAAGAATCACCTTGTGGGATCAGTGCAGGGAATCCAGTTCACCTCTGGATCAGGAATATCCTCCAGGTAGGGGTAAATGGCTTCCCTTGTGAAAACCCAGCCATAAATGCCATCCTCGGGAGTCACAATGATGCGGGCACCCTGGAACAACAGGCTTCATTAAGAAGGCACCATCAAGTCACCCCTGGGACGGTCAGTGGGAACAGAAAACACCAATTAACACACTCACAATCCATCTCATACCTGCTGGGCTGCTTCCTTAATAGCTCCTTCCAGAACATCCATATTTCTGTTCATCAGGGCCAAAGCATCGTCGGGAGAAACCTTGTGAATGGTGCGTGGCAGGATGACGGTGTGCTCATACACGACTGCAATGAAGGTGTCCGAGGCCAGGGCCTGCAGGACTGCCAGGGCAAGCACTGCAGCACACACCAGGGTCTGGGAAGGGGCCATGGCTGCTGCCTTGCAGTTTCCTGAATGCTCTGAGTCACAGAGAAATGGTGAAAAGGGAACATACACAGAAATTAAAAGAGGGTCAAAGTTTAACTTTAATATGGGAGGGAAGTAGTGCTGACCTGTTAAAGCAGTACCTTGGAATCAAGTGTCTCTGGTGACATACAGGAAAGTCCAACTTCATAAGGTGAGGATGTTGCAACTCAGAATAAAAGCTGGCAGAGGACACAAGCAGTCACAAAACAGTGGGTAGTGCCAAGTGTAATAATGCCAATATTTAAGTAAGTTATTAAGCATACTACTAGAAAAAGCCATCCAAATTTTCTCTTACATTGTTTCTGTCACCGATTACAACACACTTCTGCCATCTATGTTGGCTTAAGCCTTATGCACAGAGGCTTGCACAGATCACCAGGCCTTGCAGTACACGTGTTCCACAGTTTACCCTTCCTACCTCCAACAACATTCTGTTTATTGATCAAAGACTGCTTCCTTTTTAATTTTTAACTTCAGTTCAAATGCCTTTCTGCATAACATTTTTTTTTTTTATGTTCTAGTAGTTGGAGCATTCTCATTTGGAAACGATTTCTTAACAGAAAGGTTTGCTGAGTGGAAAGCAGAGCTACCAATGGTAGCATGTCTGCTACCATTGCAGAGGCATCTCAGGAAAGATAGAAATGTTCTGGGTGAATGCAAGCACAACAGAGTGACTAGCAAGAGCAAGTGCTTTCAAGCATTAGGAACATTAATGCACATCTGCTGATATTCATCACTAGGTTCTTCTCTAGGTACAATGTCAGATACAACGTGCTCATTCAGGAACCTTGAACATAAGCCCTTGAAGGGTTGCAATAGAGATTTTAGAGATAAGCAAAGTAATGTAATTTGGAAGACTTCTTCATTGTTGGTTATAAAAGGAAATACAGATTGTGTCACAATAGCCACATTGAGCCCTAATTCTGAAGGAGGAAGTGGTAAATGGTCCCCTGTTTAGCAAGAGCCAAGAAAACATTCAGCCCACACAGATGACCACCCTGTCAGAGTTGGTCATCTGTGCACTGGCCTACAAGGCTGAAGTCACCCTACAAGGATGGGGTTTCTGCAGTAAGGCTGGGTGTCTGATGCTGTGCCAGCTGGCACCACCACCAGCTACCTGCAGAACTGGGTGCTCACCCAGGAAGAAGGAAATAACCCAGGTTAAGAAAATAAACAACATAAATCTACCGAGTCAAATCCTGTAAAACTACAGCAGTCCAGGCTATAGATGGCCACAGCCAATGTAAGAAGATGGTTATCCCAGAGTTCCTTCTATTTTTCACACCTCTGTTCTCCCACTTTCCCCAGTTCCTGCTACTACGTGAGGACAGAATTTACATGATTACTTACTTTTGTGAGAGAGGACACAATTTGGTGCCAAATCAGCTCAGCTGTAGGAACAGTCTGCCTTCACACCATGCTCCTGCTCCTTTTCTTGAACTAAGAGAAACTGCTTGGAAAATGACTCTTCATTTGAAAGGTTAATCGTTCTGAGGAAAAACTTGTGAGAACAAACATTCCTTCAACCAGGCAATCACTGCAGAGCAGCAAGAACAGGCTGAGTGAGCTCAGTAGCCCCTCCTATTTTAACCACTGCACATAGTTGTGGTGCTGCTCTGAAACAGAATACGTGTCCTGTGGTATAGATACACAGACAGAGATACTGTACCTCTTCACAACAAGTGGTGTGTTTTCCACCTCCACTATATCAGTTGCACACAGTTCCTATTTAATACAGCTGCAATGTAAAATCTTATTTTTACCATATCATTTTGTTCAAATGCAAAGCATTTTACACCCTGTCTTTTATTATTATTATTATTATTATTTTGAAAAGATTAAATGTGAACAATGTTGTTTTCTTGCTTTTTTTTTTTCCCCCTCCCAAAACAAACCTGAAAAATAAGCTGTAGAGTTTACTTCATATAAAAATCTTAGCCAGTACACACAAAGTAATCCAGTGCACCCTCTTGGCCTACACATGGATAAGTGCATCTGTTCATGCTGTTAGCTTGTGCCAACACCTGCATGCAGACTTGACACATCAGTCTCAGCAACCATTTCATCTGGGAGACTGATATATCCTGTGAAATTGCTCCTTTTCAGGATTTTTATTATAGCTCCACCTAACTGCTTAGAAAAGGTGACAATTATCAATAGTTTTGTGGAACAGAAATTTTCCACATTGTAAAACTGCATCCAGGAAGATCAAGTAGCCTCCCTCAACTGCAATTTAGGGCATGGCATGCCAAAATATTACACAGTACTGAGCTGATTATCTGATTTTGAAGCAACATTCTTAAGAGGCTTGTTTTCTTTTTACAAGTAGATGATAACTTAAAAGTTCAGCCATCTGCCTTCAAAGTTTTCATTACTCTTATCTGTTTTAGAAAGGGGCTTGCTCAGATATGTGGCTGAACAGTGTTGTGGAACTGACTTCAATACATCTCCCTGAAAAAATTCAGATGATTAAAAATCTTTTGTTATTGGGCCAGTATCCTCTATTCTGGGTCTGGATTTCATGCTACTGAAGTCAACGGGATTTACTTCCTGCTGTCCCCAGTGGGATCAAGGACAAGTCTATGACAATCCTAAACTATCATACAAAAACAGACACAGAACTGTCCAGCAAAGAAATTCATTTTGTTGCAAGATTAAGTACACAAATCAATGTGCAATGACTATCTTGTTAGGGCAATTTAAGAAATAATTTCCATTATAATTATGTGTATTTGCACTAATTAACATCAATTCATATTATAGTTAGTGCTACAGAAACAAGCAGACAAAATCTTAAGCAGTGATATCGTGGTGAAGCTTGATGCATGCACAGGGTCCTTTTCATACCATCTCCCAAAGAGCACTACGCTCAAAACTGGCTTGGATGTACCAGAGCAGTTTATGAGAGGTCCATCAGTTAGCACCTAGTTATGGAAAAGTAAAGAAAAAAGGAACATCAACTAAGCAATATTATTGTATGACAAACACAAAATAATATACTCATTAATGTTGACCTGGTTGAAAGATGTCTCAGAAAAGCAATATGTATGAATGCAATATGTATGAATCTCTTATATGGAGCTACCATGTCTAAATAGAAACTATACAATACTTCTGTCTTGGGAAAGATTTTATTCTAAGAGACTAGGTGGACATATGGGTTGTTCTGTGAATTTCCTATCAGTTCATAAGAGTTCCAGTTATTTGGTCAGGGGTTGAGGGAATTGGATTGATCAAGATGCTGTACAAATTCAACTTGTAAAACCAGACAAACAAAGCTGCCTTGTACTTGAGCTACTTACTGAAATTGAGGGCACTAAATTCCATGTCTTGCAGTGCCTTTTTAATCATTCATACTACATGACTGGCAACTCCAAAGGGCATCTTATTACCTCAAAATCCCCAGGGGCCAGCTGCACACCGCTGTACAAGACTTCTGGAAAGACGCAGTTAGTGCCAAACATGCTACTGAGGGAGAACATGGCAAACTTGGCCTGTGTGGTCACTGCTGCCTGCCAACACATGCTCAGTTCTATGCTCCTACACTCCAGCATGCCTATCTGTGCAGAAGAGGATACGGAAAAGCAAAAATACCAGTCAGCTTTCACCAAACAAGAGCTAGACTTGACGGTAAGAAAAGATACAGTAAGATAGTAAGAAAGATACAAAAATTTAAATTTAAAATTAAAACAAAAAAGCCTAGCAGAAAAATTTTAAATAACCAATATGCTAAGAATTTAAAATAACCAATATGCTAAGCCATTTGGATATAAACATTATATCCATATTTAGTTTCTTCATTTTGAAAGATAATTACACATTAGAAAATAACATTAGCACAGTGGCAAAATCCACAGCAGAAAGTATCTCTCTCCTTTGAGAAGAACATCCATATGAAGTCAGTGAGAACTCTAATATCTTCTCTTCCTTTTGTAAACATACAAGAGAAACCTGTTAGAGCAAAGATGAATTCAGGGTCTTGACTTTCATGATTACGATATTATCATAATATAAACAGAAAAATGAGATCAACATCATTAATGTTAACATGTCTCATAAAGTAGTTTTGAAAGAGGCCTAAAAATGAGTCTTCTTGAACCACCTCAATCAAAAATGGGACAAATACAAAGGGTCTGTAAATAGAATATTCCAACTTCCCACTGTCCAAATAGAAAACTACTACCTGCCAATAATACTCTCCTTCAATAGCATGTAGTCTATCAAAGGCATCTAGAACATAAATTTCATCTTCCTGCTTCTCTGACATCTTGCAACTCAGGTGGCAACAAAGGTCCTTCTGGCAAATGGAATGATTTCCTTCAGGTTGAGTTCAGTGAAAAATAAGAGAATGTGGTAAACAACTACACTGAAATAATTCTCATTTGGTGGAAACTGCCTGATATTGCTTTTATACAACTTCCAGTGAACAGCAGAAAGACAGTCAGGAGACAGACAAAGGCACAAACTCAGTTTTGTCACCAGAAGGTGATTGTTTTCTGTTTCTGTATAATAATAATATGCTCTCAGACCATTTGGGGCATAAGTACCACTCCCTACTCACATACACAAAACCAGTAAGCTTTTGATTTGAAAGAAAGCACAAGTAAGCAGACTAGCTAAACATGTCTACTGGACTGTTCTGAAACTAAACCAAGTCTTCACAGACTACAGTCCTGATCTAAAGCTATTTTGCTATCAATGGGAAGTAAAAGAAACTCTGATGTTTCTTGTACTGTAAGTCACAAGATTAGTACACTATGCTGTAAGATAGGCTTTAAGTGGTTGAAGATGTACATTTCTTCTTAAGTTCAGGTCCACTAGAAATCCACTAGCTCCACTAGAAAAAGGAGTGCTTCTGATTAAAGTGAACACTAATGTTGTTGAGTAAAAAACATTACCTGTAAAGAAATTAAATTACCAAAAGTCACATTCCTACGCAAGTTCTTCATGTAAATGTATCTTTAAAGCCAAGAGTAAAAACTATCTATAAACAATGTTAGTTGTCTGGCTTACAGTCATCAAACACTGAGAATAGATAATGCTTGTGTTTGCTTTCATTTCAAAGGCAAATTTTAAGGATACTTTTTTTAGCAGCACCAGTAAGTTTCTCGCATTCCAAAAACATTAAATCTGTGCTTTACTTCTACCACCCTCTCAGGAAATCTGTACAGCAAAGAGAACTTCTGTAGTTTACGAGACTCTAAGGAGCATTGCTCAGCACTATGTTTCCACCTAGTGGAGAAAAAAAGTTTGGGCTTTAACATGAACAAATCATTGATGAGCACTAGTATAGTGCAAGTCAGAGATGAAGAACCAATCACACACATGAAATCTCAGGAATGATCACTTTAAAAGGCACTAAAGGTACTGCAGCTATCTTAAACATTTCTGAGTTGTTATATATCACATTCTGATTTCCTCTTTATCTGTAGAAGTCCTAATCCTGTTTACATGTGTATGTATGCCCGAAAGCTATGGGTATTTCAGCTCAGGACAACTGAGTTACGAATATATAAATGTTTTCCTTCTGAATGAGATAAATATCATATTACCTGTTGTATCCAAAGCAGAGTGTGTATTTGCTGAAATAAAATTGACATGCATTCCCATAGTTGAGTGCAACTGGATCACCAACAAAAGTGGGAGAGTAATTAACAGAAGCAGTTGAAAATAGAATGTTGACAATCTGAAATGTGCTCACCAAAACCATGGCTGGATTATGAAAGATTGCACAAGTGAAAATGCCAAAGTATCCAAAGGATGTATTGAAAGTCAAAAATTCTGGATCTTTTGGGCAATTAAACTGTTTCTTGAACACAAAAAAGGCTGTACTGTTTGTTGACAGAAAAGTACAAAAAAAATAGAAAAGGAATCAAATGGTTGGAATCAATAATATTAATTATAGTATTCATTCACTTAAATACAAGTAATTGAGAATATGTTTTGTGAACATGTTACTTAATATTGAAAAGGAAAATTCAAACCATTGCAAGAGGAATTAAGCACAAATACCTGTGATTCTGATTTACAGAAGTGAAAGAGATTTCTACTTAGCGGGAGTTCAGGACATTAAAGTTTTAATGCTTCATGCTACTTCCTACTGATAAACACTAAAAATAGATGGTCCTAAGAGTTTTAATTAAATTTCATTTCATTATTTGCTATTAATTAAAGAATAGCAGGAGTGAAGGCATCTTAAGGGAGTGACTTGCTGCTGTCTGCTAAATAATGATTCTATGTACCAATACACTTAAGCCTGAGAAGTAGCCTTTATTCCACATTTCTCATTACCCATGGATCATCCAGTTCCTGAACTTCATAGAATTGCTGTACCCTGTGATAACAAGCCACCAGTTTCCTTTCTGAATCAAAGATAATGTTGGTATTGTACGGGTAGTAATCATCACACTTGGTCACCTTGGATGACTGAACTTACATGGCTTCTTGTTCTCCATATTCACAACGATGTAGATGGAGTAATTCCTTGCCAGGCAGCTCAGTCTTTTCTGTATTGGTCAGGGGGCAAATCTAATCAGCATGCAAGGAAGGAAATAAGACATCAAAAACAGTTAATCAGTATAAATACCAAAACTAAAACTAAAGACCACTAAAACAACCAGTTTAAGTTAGTTGCTCTTCATACAATTGTTTTCCATTGTTCAACAGGAGGCAGTGGTTTTGTGTTTCAAAGCTTAGAATGCTGAAACTCTGGCTTTATCTTAAATCAAATAACTGAGGAACACAGCGGTTTCCTCATAGTGAAAGTTACTCTTTGCACCTTCTAGTTCTCCTTTTTGCTGCTGTCCTGTAGAACAACGATGTGACTGTGACATCTGAGATGATCTTAGCATTCTGCTTCAGCTCTTGATTCAGCTGCTATTATGATGTAGCTCAGAATTTGTTTCTTCTACATTGTGTTCCATTATCTTTCATAAATTCACAGAATCTTAGTGTTATCTGGCTGGAAAAGACTTTGAGGATCATCATGTCCAACCATCAACCTGGTCTACCAAGTCTCATCAATAAACTCCGTGCACCAATCACACATCTCTTCAACACCTGAGCAGCTCATTCCTATGCTTGACCACCCTTTTCCATGAAGGAATACTTCCTCATGTCCAGCCTAAACATCCTCTAGCACAACCTGAGACCGTTTCCTCTTGTTCTATCGCTTGTTACCTGAGGAAAGGAGAGAGACACCATTCTCACTGCAACCTCCTTTCAGGCTGCTGGAGGGACCAAAGAGGTCTTCCCTCAGCCTCCTTGTAAACCACTAAAAATGGTACAATTTATTAAGGAAAAATAAAACTTGAGCTTCCTTCCTTTTATAATGCAGTAATGTAAAAACGAACTAGGTCAAAACAATATCACACTTTAATTTGAAGGAAGTAAAATATATTAACATTATAAAATGGCCATTATTTCTTTTATATAAATCTTGACCTTCATAAGTGTAACTAATACGCACACAGAAAAAGAATTAAAGTGACAAAGATTTACGGAAAAAAAAATTATCAAGGAAGTTGTCTGAAGCTATCTATGGCAACTAACAATGTCTAACTTTTCTTCCTCTAACAGTTGCCCCAAGACATTTTAAATGATATGCATAAGCAATCCTCAATGTAGTTGTTTTTCCCAACTGTACTGTTCCCCTTCTATAGCAAAGACTATACCTTTCAGAATCAGTACATGGAATGCAGTCCACCTGGGGGTCTGGAATATTTTCAAGATAAGCATTTACTGTTCTCCTCATGAAGACCCAGCTGCAAATACCATCTTCAGGAGTCACAACGATACAGACACCCTAGTATTGACACAGAAAAACAAAAGACAACATCTCCCCCCTCCTGTAGCTGACGAGCATTTACCAAAATGAACGGCTCTAATTAAGTCACAATACCTGTCTGGCGGCTTTGTTGATGGCCACTTCCAAAATATCCATATTTCTGCCATCAGCAACAAGTCCTCCTCAGGAGAAGCAGGCATTTCTCTGCCCTCTGACAATCGCACACTGCTTGTAGGCAGCTGTGACACAGATATCCAAGGCCCAGGCATCAGGAGGAGACAGCAAAGACATGAGACCTCAAAAGCCCCATACCTGAAACCTGAAGTCACCCAAGAGGAGGACAGGGGCAAGCAAAGATAGGGAACTTTAATAAGGAAGATCTTGCAGAAACCTGTGAATTCCCTAGGAAGTCAACACCATGCAACACAATCCCCGCGTCCCAAAAACCTCACAACGCCGAAGGTCAGAGAGTTGTGAGCACTGAGCAATCTGCATTACACCACTGATACAGAAGTCATTGCTCAGCTGCAATTGAAGAAACACACTGCCAGCCAGATTAGCAAACTATTCAAGCACATCATTGCTGTGGGAAGGTAGGTTAATGTAAGCCCAGGTCACAGCAGAAGAAAGCCAGTTTGGGAAACCTGAGCAAAAAACCAGCACACACACACCTAGTAGAGTGTGGACAGGGGATTGGCCCTGAGATCAGCACTGCTGTTTGGATGCTAATGGTGCCACCACCAGCTCAGCACTGCTCCAAATGAGTTTACTTGTGCCTCGTATTTATTCACAACTTCAGACCATACAACTGCACTAATAAAGCAAACTGGGTTTAGATCTGCCATTGGATGAGAGAAGAACTGCACCAGACATGGGAGAACTCAGTTCCCCATAGGAGATTCCACTGCTCTTCAACCATAGTTCCTGGACTCCTAGATAATCATGGCAGGAGGTTTGAGTGTTAGTCTGAAGAACAGATCTGGAAACCAGATCTCAATTTAGATTGTGTTTTGTTTTTTTTTTTTTTTTTTTTTTTTTTTTTTTTAAACCTCCACTGCAAAAACAAAAAAAGGAAGAGGGGAGAAGATGTAGTGCCAAAGCTGTTAATTATCTGCTGTTTCTACTGGACAACTGGAGAAGCTCATGGGCTGCAGGATAGCCCATTATTTTCAGTGACATCTATGTTCTGGTAATCCCTACCACTTCAAGTCCTAACAACACAAATCAGGTAGGAAAGCGGGTAATTCCTCAGAATGAATGAAATCTCATTTCTATGGATTTGTACCTTGTATCCTTTACCCCTGGTTCTCTCAGTTCCTTCTCAACTGCCTCACCTACAGCAAGGGCAGGACTGGCATTTTAAAACAAGGCTGAGTGGTACACTCTAGATTTCAGAAAGATCTAATACCTGACACAAACAAAAATCTATTGCTTTTCTGCTTTTTGGCATCCTATTCAGCTCTCTCACAGCAGTTTTCCTCATTAGTACCCAAAAAAGGGTTCTGACAGAAAATGTTTCATGTAAATTCCACTGGCTACTCACAACAAAAAAAGTTGACTGCAAACCACTAGGAGTAAACCATTTTCTTTACTTGTGGGACAAACGGATACCACAGAGTACCTCTTCTAGGGCCCAGTTCTGGGTTCAAAGACAAAAATAAGACTCATGCCACAAATGAAGACTAAAAATCTAGCGTCAGTTTGCAAGGCGTGTCCATATCTCAGTTCACCTCGCCTTTTGTGCTTAGTATCTAGGAGGAGATTTTTCTCCTCTCTGTTGAAAAATGGTAACCCTAGACTTCTGATAGACACACTTATTGAAAAGACAACTAGGACAAACATCGCTGCTGGCATTTACTAGCAAAACAGTTATCTCACAGACTAACCTAAGCTTCTGCATGTTAGAGGAATGTACATGTACACACACACACACACACTTGGAGTACCCCATCTCCTCCAAGACTGGAAATCAGTTCCGCATGGACATGTTCACTTCTCATTTTCAGGCACTTTCATGAATTATAAATGCTAGTTGACACAAAGACTCTTCCTCTTCAAGAAAATTCACAGAACTTAGGAAAAAAAAAGTTGCTTTATTGAAAACAGCATTGTGCTTAAATGCTTTGCCACTTCAAATTCTGTTTCAAAATTTTACAGTGTCAGTTAAGATATTAATAGATAGTCTTTCTTCTAAAAAAAATAGAGAAAAATCGTAGTAGCAAAATAGTAGCTTTATCTGAGAGTAATGCACAGCAGGCTCAAGTACAGAAGCCAGACACTTGAAAATGCACCTCTTCACATACAGTGGTACACTGTATACGGAATACAATTAAACAGGCTGACATTGAGGGCTACTCATCAGTGCAGCCAATCCACGTGAGGACTTTCAAAAGAAAGGCAGTCAGTGTTTAGTGTTTCAAAACAGTGATGCAGCTCCAACTTAAACCACAACTGGTTGTTCACTAGGGAGATCATGTATCCCAAGTCCAGAACAACAAAACACTGTTAAGCCCGCTCACTTCAACACTAAGTTAAACTACAATAATAAACAGAGGATCAAAATAATTTCTGGTTATGTTTCACTACCCAATAGATGAGTTCTTTCTTCATTATCACTAGGAGGGTTTTGCAGGCTGGAACTGGAGCTGTTTGCAGAAGGAAAGGAATGGGAGAGGAGAAACAGGTTTAACATTCTGTAGATATTTCTATGTAATACTAATATTATAACATAAAACTCACACAAAATATGGAAAGAGCTAAGTGGATCATTGAATTTGTTTCCTTAGCATTGTGCAGAACTATGTACTACTGCTGTGAAAGTTGTTTCTACTGACATAGTTCACAGATATCCTTCTGGAGGAGCCATCAGTAGGATTTACTCCTTACTATCACAGTAAAGTTCCAGTAATGTCACAATAAAGTCCAATTGCACGTAGAGAAAAGGCAAGACATAGTTCAGGTCTCTGTTTAGGTCAGTGAGGATTTAGTAAAAAATAGAGATGTATGTAAGCAGTATTTTTACTGCTCATTCTGTCATTTGATATCAGATTGGTAGTGAAGAAGAAATGGAAGTATGGCTCCCAAACATCTGCTTTATACAGCTTTAAGTAAAACAAAGAATAACTCCACATACCTTTTCCTTGTGGCTTCAGCAATATAAAATATTCCAGTTGCAAGTCCCTTTGAGAAAATGGGCAATTACAATCATAATAATAACAACCTTATACAACAGCTCTTAAGTGCAACATATATAAAAAGCAAAACATTTATCACTTACGCTTAACACTGCCCATCCTCCTTGGATGGCTGACGCCCATTCAAAACCCAGTTTTTCATTTAGAAATCCTCCTAAAGTGGGACCTATAAATGCCCTGAAACAAAGCAAAAAGAGGTGCAGATATCCCAAGTAAATAAAAGGTACAGATTGTATTATTTGCACAGGTTTTATTGCACTTTGTGGCCTTCCTCCACTGATTCTCTCCTCATCAACAAAGAAGCTGACTTCTACAGCAAGTATTAACTCTTTGTTTGTCATGGCCCCAATAAATCTGCTGAGTTGTCACCTCAGCTATAGACAGGATATACATCAGAATGCTAAATGCACTCTTTTTTGTATCCTGCATGGCTTGAGGGCTCCATTAACTACAATGTTCTAACAGCACCTACATAGATACCTTCTACCATAAAAGAAATTTAAACCCTCATCTCTCAAACCATCCAAATCTGGAAATAGATGGATATATGCAGGTGGAAAGGCACAGTGTGATGGTTATGGTTCTCATTACTGTGCTCACAAGGTTGAGCTGCATGTAACATCCTGGCTCCTCTGTGTCAGTCTAAGAATGCCATGAAAGGTTATGCAAAAGTCCTACATGATTTTGTCATTTGCTACAGCAAAGGATGAAACTCTGTACAAGAAGAGATTTCCTGGAAGCCAGGCATAATAACAGCATGCTCAGCAGCAGCACAAAACTGAGTTTTATTAACTTCATACTGCATCTATCTGTACTGAACCCTACACCAAATAACTTAAGTGCTAGATGTCCTGTTTATCTTATAAAAATGGTGCAACTGAAACCCATCTGCAGCCACAGAGGACTACACAGACTGACAGAATATTGTGAAAGTGGCTGCCAACAGAGGGTTGCCAACTCATTTCTCACTGAGTAACAACTTTGGAAAGTTGTTCAAGTCAGTAGCATCTTCCACTCATTTCTATGACAACCACTGGGTAAGAAATTCAGGAACACTGTGCTAAGCTCTGCAAAAACAGACCCTGAATAATGGCTGTAGTCAAAAGAGAACAGAGTGTTCCATGCAGAACATAAAAAAGAGGTAAATGCAGGAGGAGAAAAAAATTAAAAAAAAAATCAGAGTCTACTTATGTCTATAATAAAATCAAAGGTTTCAATGGCAACAAAAATAACCATTAAAGAGGGCAAACTAACACCCATTTAATCGGTGCAGGTTTTTTTTTTTTTTTTTATATGAAGGCAATGCACTTTAAAGGTAGACAGGTCCATTCCCTTGCAGGATAAAAGCCTTATTTCAACACATCACTACACATTTGGCAAGAATCTCTTGAATGGAAGTCAACACAGTGACCACAATTGGAATTCAGAATGTTTTCACATGGCAATAGTGAAGAACAACCAAACACTGTAGCCTACTAAAAGGTGACTGCATACATACCCAAGGGACCACACAGCATTAAAGAGCCCAGATACCAGCCCCAGTAGACTCAACCCTTCTTCAAATCCATTTTCACTGCAGGAAGACAGCACAATTAGAGATGCACAACACTTTACTGTGTCTCAATCTATAGCCTTCCCCTAAAATGGGTTTGGTGGAATCACATTTGTTTATCCAGTACTTTCTTTGCTGTTTTTCTAGAAGGCTGCAATGCTACTTATCATCTCTCATGTCTTCTTGGGGACACTTCTCACACCATCACTCAGTCTTCATATTTCATACGGCAAGTGTAAAACACTGATAGGTGGCTTTTAAGAAGGAAAGACCTTGCTTCAAGGGGATCATACTTACAAAAGTAAATTAAGACCCTTCTAGGACATTGCTGTCAAGCCACATCACAGACTTTGTACTTCAAGCAAGTGCAACTTGCCAGTTGGCACAATGCCAACGCAGACTGAAAATCCAGTGCACATTGCAGGCTAATCTTCCTAAGAAGGTGAAATAAGTCCTGCGTATATGAAACCACACACAAGTCACCCCATACTATGAGATTATAAGTCTATTAACTGTGCCTGTAGCGCAGAAGTACACATCTACAAGAATTTACTTGTAATATGACTGTGTCTTAATGGGGTACTCAGTCAGAAAAATCTAGGACAAAAAATGAAGTGGAAGAAGCATGTGATTACTACTCACTGCTTTGGTCTCAACATGAGAAAACAGCCACACCAAAAACCCACTTTGCATTCACCTCTGAAAATAAGTTACATCTTGAGCTTCCTACAATTAGTAACATGGAAGATGCACTGGACAACTACTTACTATGCACACTGCAGTATCTCTGGAAATACTGGGATAGCACTCATTCCAAGGGAAAAGCCAAGGAAAACCAGCACTAGGACGAACATCCACAACTGACTGCAAAAGAGGATTTAATAACAGCTGAAGATTCTTTTCAGACCAAGACATCATTTGACTGAATGCTGTTACGTCAAATCACACTGATTGAACACAAAACTAAGTTTCCAGAAGTCAAAAAGAATTGTCCTAGCACTTAGACTTGAAAATAAATCTCTATGCTTTAAAAAAAAAAAAAGATTTCATCAAAGCATTTCAATGTTGCATGCTCAGTTTAAATATTTCTCCATCAAAAAGCAGCTAATTTTAAGAGGAACACACAAGAGAAGCGGTGGACAGACAAGCTTAATTTAGTAACACAACCACACATGTAAAACCCATAGTTAATGAACACTGATGAAATTGAGAAGATTGAAAAATAAGACAGAAAGAGGACTTTGTTTTGCTGAAGTGCCATGGAACCAGGAGGCAAGGAAAATAAATAAGCAGCACTCTTCTCAACACACACATTAACATGAGCAAACATTAACAAAATACATAGAAAAAGGATCTATTTAAAAATGCTATCATTTCTACCTTAGCTACACCTCGATTTTCAGGTACTTTCACTGATTTACATTTATAGTCTTGAGTCAGAAGCAAAAACATTCTGTTTCAAGGTCAGAGGTGCTAAACATAGACTTGTGGACAAACATGATAATGGCCATGCTAGCAAAGACTAAAACATTGCTTCAGGAGACAGGTTCAAGAAGAGGCAATTCACAACCTTTCAATGTGCAGTACAGGAGCAGGTCCTAACAAGAAAAAGCACAGGGCTGTTATTAGGCCTCCTGACACCAGCAGCCATTTCCTGAGGTGCTGTGAAAGAAAGGAAGAAGCATGCAATTTAAAAATGTGAATATGTATTGCAGCTATTTTGTCTTTTTTAATATTCCTCTTCTAAATCTTCATCTTTTAAAAAGTACTGCTGGTCTATTTAACCATCACTACAAATAAACTAGCAATTCACAATTTCTAAACAACATTAAGAAACACTGAATTCATGTTTTCTTGTCACCAGTGCAATCACTGTCAGCAGTGCTTAGTACAGAGATTTCAGAATACCGAATAAAGGTGCTGCTCTGTTGGAAAAATATTCTAGGTCTCATTCGGCCTTAGCATAAGAAATACAGCACAGCACTACAACCAGTTCTCATATACAAAGTCATTATTAGTTTCAGTCAGGGAAAAAAAAAAACCACAAAACACCAGAGAATTGTCATCGCTCTTCATACAAATTATTCAAAGCCCAGTTTTCCTTGATCAATTAATAGTGGTTGTCAACAAGGCAGTTTTACATAATTCTTACTCTTCTCAAAAGTAGATAAAAATCAGATGTGAATAACTGCATGAATAACTGTAACACATTTTAACAGTCTGTTCCGTATGGGCTGGAAACATTGTGCTTAGTTCACCAAAAGAAAACTCAGTACATTTCAACTGTAAGATACTTAGTCAGTGTCCTTTACAGTTTCATATGTTCTTGTACAATCCAGACCTTGCAAATGAGACCTTAAGTTGGCATTATTCAGTGCACCTGCAAGGTCCCTAAACACAGATCTCTTCACAACAGCAGATCAATGTACATTATTTCAATATGGGAAATCCTCCACTTTTAGCTAAACGTACAGAGGACATCACCACTAAACAAGCAATCAGGACAGTACTCACTGGCATTTTGTCACTTAGGAGTCCAAGGAGGGGAGAAGACAGGGAGTACGAGAGTGCCAAACCCAGGAACACTAAGCCCACATATCCAGCTGGGAGTTTGAACTATGTGAAGGAAAAAACACAGCAAAACAACACAAGCCGTACAAGTTACATTAATTAAAGGACAATCCAAGAATTATATTTTAGGTCAAATAAATTAAATCTATGCAGAGTTTTACATATTTTATTTATCTCATACAGATGTTTGTCAAGTATTTGAAGTCAGCGAAGCTAGTTTCCTTTCCAATCCAATTTTAAGCACATAGTAACAAAGCCTGACATGACTGTAATCAGATAAGACTTCACTTAAAAAAAAAAAGGCACAAACACTATGCTATCTCTTCACACCAGCACACAGGACCTTTACACTGATATCTAGCATATTTGAAACAGGTATTTCATACACTAAAATTTAAGCGGATTTAATCTTTACCACTCCAATCTTCAGTTATAGTTTCATTTAGAAAAGCATAAAAACCATAGGCATCCACTGCTAACCAGGGCATCTTAAAAGAAAGTAGTACTGTAAAACACAACAATGGCTTTTGAACCAAAGAAAGATTTTTAACTGAATGAGTAAGAGGCTTCTTTCAAACACCCCAAGGCCTACATTTTCATAATGCAGTGACATCTCTATGTTGAAACAAAATACATAATGAACCAAATGCATACTAATCTCTCAAATGAATGCTTTAACAGCTAGAAGGTATTCCAGGGTGTTTCATGTGGCATGAACTACATAAACATTCAGTATTTCCTCTCCATATGCAAGAACATGATAATAACTCTAATTTTGTGGTAAGAACACTTGCCAAGAATGCTACAGCCCTTTCACAGCAACTATCTGCTAGCAGAGAGGAGGGAAAATGCAGCAGTCACACCACTGCACACTATTCGACAGTGGAATAATTACAGATCCTGTCTGGGTGGTAGAAGATGTGTTCACATTTCTAAAGATGTTAGCACCAAGCCTTCTCAATCCTGGATAAGTACACTTAATGCTGAACTAGACAGGAAAAAAGTAGCAGTGGTACAACATCTTATAAAATGCTATACCCTAGAAAAACAAATAAATAAGCAACTCAAAAAGCACTGCTTAATTTCGTGCAGGAACCATTCCCTCTTAATTATTTTAGACACTATTGGAAAAACAAATAAATAAAATTAAATAGAAATATTAAAATAAATCAAAAGGAAAACATTTGCCTTTTAACAAGTGCTGAAGAACCCAGCTAGCCAACTGCCTAGGTGTAACCAATTTCTCTCTGGCAATGTTGTAAGTGAAAGCAGGGCTGTGACACCATGTCCCCATCAAGAGACATGATGCTGAAAAATGACTGTTGCAACTTTACAGAATTTGCTTTCAGCAAGGAGGAAAAAGTGCCTTGCTTATAAAACCCTCCTGTTAAAAGAATGGCTTCTGCAGCTGAAAGCCAATTCAGTGGAAAAAGCAAATATTTTAAAAGCCCTGAACTGCCTTGTTCTCAAAGTTCCTGATGTCAGCTGATGGTGTAAATTATTTGGAAATCAAGCTAATTAAACCAACTCAAATGAATAAGGTGTAATATTGTTTAGGATAATTTAAAGTACAATTTTTACCAGTTGTTCACCGCAAGTTAGGACTTTTCTGCACATCAACAGAACTTACCTTCTTTAAGATAAATAGAGACATTGTGGGATCCAAGAAGCCTAAGCATGCACTTAAAGAAAATATAGTAAAACAGAGAAATAAGACTTTCGGCAGAAGAGCGAGCTTCCAAAATGACTCCTTGGTAGGGATCGAATCTGATTTGAGAGAAAAGAAAGGGAAAGAAGAAATAAAAATATTGTGAAAACGCAGTTACTTCTTCTCTAGTCCTTATACTGTGAAAATTTCATGTGTACGTTTTGATTTAAAACAAGCAAAAAAGGAGGGAAAATGAAGTCTCTTAGTGTATCATCTGTACACTAACACTAATTCAGATCCTCTACATGTTCAATTCATATTCCAGACAGGAAGCTTCTCTTAAGGTACCTCTGTTGGATATCATTTCTAAGTCAGGCTCCCTTCTTGATGCTGTTTGTGCTCTAATTGCTGAATGCCATCTTAAAGCATACATAAAATTAAAGTTCATTCATCTGCATCCACCAACTCAGAGCTACATTTATTAGTGTAGTTTCAAGTGGCCATGCGGTTAACCACAGCAAATTTCTTCTAAAAGCCAGTATAAGTGAAGATAATCTTCAAGGCTTTTGAATTTAAGAAGAAAAATGAGGAAAAAAAAATTATTTTATAGTTATTCTGTTTCTCTTAGAATTAGAACATAAGAAAATCAGAACCTTTCAATCGCCGTCCTGTGGGAAGACTTATCTTCAAGCTATCTTTCTGCCTAAACAGGATAATCTAAAATTTAACCAAACGTGTATGATCTCCAGCACTTCTGTTAACCCTTGCATTTATTAATTTTAACATTCTTTCATGATAATCAGATTAGATATCAGTCAGTACAAATAATCCCCCATTTTGTTCTCATTGTAATTCTTCCCCCACTACCAAATCCTCAAATACACCACACTCTCTTGTCCTAAACAAAGCCTACCTCCTGCCTTTCTTCAGCTGGCTATAACAAATTGATATTAAGCAGATACCACTGACCCTCTACAGGCTCTGAAGCTAAGGAGACACACAAAAATATATCTCAGCTTACTTCCAGAGTCCTAAGTGTTTGCAGAAATACACATGACATGCTGGATTCATTCCAGGCCATCTACATGCATCAATTGTTAAAAGATGGGCTTGATGAAGACTGAAAATTAATTCAGCCCTCTGAGTTGAATCAGATTCCAGAAGCCAACAATGTTCTAAAGGACAGTTATATAGACAAGAAATTAAGGTAAACAAAGAAGGTAAGGAGGAAGGTGCTTACCATATTTTGGTAATAAGCACATATTCACAGGCACTAGGAGCAATACCACACATCCCAGCGTAATGAAAGGGATCTCATAACCAAAGGATTGATACAAAAAGCCACCTAAAGGTGGGCCCAGCACCAGTCCAAGCCCTGTAAAAATTTCAAGGCTGCCCTAAACAATGGAAAAGAAAGCAGATTTAAAAAAAAAAAAGTCAGTATATTGAGAAATTTCAATGTTATGATAACCTTTACAAAGTGGGATAGCAAAAGGAATGTTATTCAAACCACCTGTACCCAAACCCACTGCAGGGTTAGCCACTCAGCTATCATCCAGTCATCCAAGTCCTGAGGCAGGGCAAATGCTTTACTGATGGAAAGCACCTGTAGGCCAAACCAGGCTGAAGTGATCCCCTCTCCCACATGCAGAGTTACGCTATGGCCTCTATGGTGGGGTGGGAATGTTCACTCCTGCGCGGAGGTGAGCATGTCTAGCTAAAGCTTTCTTTCCACAAATAGCCGACTAGGTTCACTCACTAGGGGCAGGAAACACTGAAACTGCAGTGGGAAAAACTCAGATAATTAAATCACAGCCAATCTGGCATCTTATATAAAGACTATGCGATAACTTTGAGAATACATTTGCAAGTGAGACAGCAGATTTTATCCTCCCAGTTTTAGAACTGCCTACAGCTAATTCATTGTATTGCGGGTACTCAGCTGTAACACTGTTTTTTTGTACTTACCAGGACAGTAGCTATATTATTGGGAAATGCCTTTGCAAGGATTGAAAATGATGCTGTCATTGCTGCTGCAAAACTTATTGCATCCATTGCTCTTACTAAAAAGCACAAACCAATGAACATTGGTCCACTTGGCACCTTGTCCAACATTCTGGGGAAAAAAAAAAAGAAGTAAACGTGGACCTTTCTGGATGCAACAAGTCATCCAAAAATGGCTCAGGAATATCATTGTTACTAGTTAAAGGACACAACTGTAAGACACACAGTACTTTCTATTGCTGCATCTTTTTTAATCATATCAATATAGTCATTCAAACCCTATCCCTCTATCTTTGACACTGCAAAAGGGAAGAAAAAAAGTCACAGTCTCCTAACTCCCCTCCAAAAAAACCAAAACCACACAACAAAGCCATCCTCTGTTGTATTTCATAGCTCTTCCAAGCAATGATTCAAGGAGTCTGATGCAATGAATTACAACTACCTAATAAAAAATTACTTGCTTAATTTTTAATAATACTTTTATTCTCCTATAATGAGTGGCTTAGCCTCACTGGATGCCAGGCAAGTCGTCTTATTTGCACCCACAATTGTGGGTGGTTTTTTTTGTTGTTCTTTTAAGAAAGCAACAATTAAAATATTATGCATATGTAGTTCCCTTACTGCTGCACCTTGGCAGATTTCTTGCAGTTCATTAACTCTGGAAGATTTTTGTTTATAGAAACTTTCTTCTTAATTTTCAAAGTACTATACAAACCTTGAAACCTTGAAAAGGAGAAGTATTTATTGGGCTTTACAAGTGATAAATAAAAGTAAAGATGCAAAAAAATGACTTAAGCAACACCTAAAAGATGTCCAAGAGTTTCCAGGTTTTTTGTGAATGTCTTTTCATTTGGATGAAAATAACTAGAAGACAAACACAACAAAGCAACCAAACAAAAATTACTCACCCAAATAGAATTGTTACACATCCTGAAACAAACATCCCTGACACAAACATGAATTTTGCTCCAATCTTTGTAAGCTGTAGATTAAATAAAATTTCCAAGTTATTACTTCAATCAGAAAGTTACTGTTAAGAAATCAAAGCATTCTTGATTGAAAAAAATCTCTATTTTACAGTCTACACAACCAAAAGATCTGGAGACACTTCTCCTGACTGTGTGTCTTCACACAACACTGAACCTAAAAATATTCTAAATGGTTAAGTGACTTAACCCAGTTTTCAGCATGGTAAGACAATGGTGCAGTTAACTATTTCACACCTGCACGTTGCACCTTCCGCAGGGTAGCAGATTGCTGCAGGACTCCTCATGACCAACTAAAATTAATACATTCCCCCTCCGTAAAGTCAGTGGTGCCAAGTCAGCAATACCTGTTTCATACATGGCTTCGAAGAGTCAGCAGAAGCTGATTTTAAAGACCCTTAAAAATAGAGTTTTGGAATAGGAGGCGTCGTATCTTCAGGCCTTCTATTTATTACCAGATAAATCACCCAGTTTTCAGACCTCATCACTAATGTGAAGGTTGAGAACAGGCCCTGACAGAAAACTTAATCTAGTAACAAAGTACATTGGAGCTTCTAATTCCAAGCTGTTACACAGTAACATCCCCTAAGGACAGTAGGTATTTCAGACTGTTTGTCTTGCTCAGGCCTGGACAGCATCCTCGTGTTCCAGTCATTAATACTGAAACCTGCATTACACCAAGTTTCGTTGAAACCCTCGAGTCTTCAGACTCCTGGACTGCCCACCTCTATTGGCAAAGACATGCTCACTTCACCTGTCCTCAAGTGAGGGTGGCTCTCTCTGCTGTGAAGTACTTGGTGAGGTTGTGTCACAGCTGAATGCCATGACAAGCACCAAGAGCAGACTTACCAAAGGCACTGTGTGACACTGATGAGCCACCTCATCCCCAGGAACAAAACATCACCATTGGCTAAGAGGAGAAACTGCCCAGCCAAAGAAGAAAGTGAAACTGCAGCAGCCCCAACTCAGGCAGGGTATGATGCTAAGTTCTGGCCAAGGATTAAGAAAAAACAGTGCTCTAGCATACAAACAAACAAATTGTGATGTAACTTATCTGTAACTGATCCAACCAGAGGAAAAACACTGATTCTGCAAGAAAACTGAAGCTGGAAAAACTGGAGACATTGCACTTGGATGAAGTGGAAGGGGAAACTGAGTTAAGCAACAGCATCATAATGGAAGGACAGGCTAAGAAAAAGGCAATATATCAGAAAAAAAGGCAGACTACAGGGAAAAAAAATAAAAAACCCACCTTGTTAACACAGACAAATAAAACTGAATATATAAGTGAAATAAATAAAATACAGGCTAGTGGAAGATATAAAATAAAGGAGGAGTGATGGACAGATAGATTGTTCTGAAGCAAACAGAAAAGTTAACCAGAGGAGAAAAAAAAAAAAAACACAACAGTTGCAGTTCAGAAACCCTATGCTGCTTTCAGGAACTGTAGAAGAGTAATTTTTTAAACTGTGCTGACAAGACCTAGATCAGATTCAGACTGGCTGGCCAGGCTCCAGTTACCGCAGACATAATTTCAAGAGCACTCCTGAAGAAACATTTCTTTTCTCACCCTCACAGAATTGTCCTTGTGTAGCAACCTGTGTCATCAAAGAAGTAAATCACAGCTTCAATGATACTTACATAATTTCCCATGATTAAAGAAGTCAAGAAATTGACCAAAGCAAAACATCCAAAAATCAGGCCAACAACTGTGTTACTGGCACCTTTTTTTTCTGCCTGCAAAAAAAGATCACAACTAAGTAAAGATGGAGGCAAACCCCTCAGGTGAGTAACATTCACGCTTTGTAAATTCTTTTTAATTCTGTCTGTGCAGTTACAAAACAATTTCTTTTCTCAAAGGCAACAGGTGCTCATGAGGTAACCCTACAACAACTTAAAGACATCTTACACTTCTACTCAAGCTACACATAATCAAGAGAAAAGCAACATTAAATCCTCAAAGAACAGAAATGCTGCGCTGTGTGCTATGCTACTGATAAGGTGAACAGACTTTATACCCACTGCTCCAGCTGGTGAGCCGTATCTTCAGTTATTTGATCTCATTCACAGCGAGAAGGCAGCAAACAGGGCAGCCTGATAACTTCACTGTATCACTTCTCCCCTTCATCATCTTTGTAGCCCACTTTTGCACACAAGGAAGGATACAAAGGTGGTGAAGGGTCCGGAGACAAGGTGTATGAGGAGCAGCTGAGGCCCCGTGGTTTGCTCAGCCCAGACCAGAGAAGCTGGAAGAGTGGCTTCATGATGGCCTACAGTTCCTTACGAGGGGAGCAGAGGGGCAGCACTGAGTTCTGCCCTCTGGGGACAACGACAGGACCCAAGGAAATAGCACAAAGTTGAGCTGTTGGGGGTTCAGACTAAGAGTTAGAGAAAAGTTCTTCACCAGAGGGAGGTGGGCACAGAACAGGCTCCCCAAGGCAGTTAGTGGTCATGGGCCCAACTACCAGAGTTCAAGGAGTATTAGGACAGTGCTCTACGGTATAGGGTTTGGATTTTTGATGGTCCTATGTGAACTCTGTGATCCTTGTAGGTCCCTTCCAACTCAGAATATTGTATGATAACAAGTGTCAAGAAATTTTTTACTTATGCCAGTGTAAGTGTGCTGTACCAGCTGGATATTAAGGGCAAAAATTTCAACGTTTCCTTTTAACGATTGGGAACAACCTGGTCATGAGAGAAGTGGATTTCTGCTGCAAAAGTACTGCGACAATGTTTTTTATCCCTTACTTAAGCACTGCAGTCACTCAGCATGAATAGAGAGTATATTTTTTCCTGCAGTTCAGCATGTTTAACACAGTGAATGATAGTCAAGCATGAGTTAACAAAGAGGAAAAAATAAATAAATAGGCATTGAGATGTTAAAGTATTGAAATGCAAGTCAGGACATGGCTTGAGTTTTAATCTCAGCTCTATCACCAAACTGTTAAACAACACTCCGCAAAAAAACTACTTCATTTCTATTTTTAATCCATCTTGTCCCTATAACTCACTATCTAATCTATTACCTCCTACGCTAAGAGCTGGATGCCAGCTGGGAGACCTGTTTCTTAGACTTGAGAGAGCAGGGTAGCGCCAGCAGGAAATGGATGTGGAGCTTTAGCACAAAGCAACCACATGTGAAACCAAGCAAGAGAATGCTGCTCTGCCATTTGCTTGCTGTCTCCTCTGCAGCCACGGGGACAATGAAATAAGTCCGTGAGCAGGAGCCAGGTCACTGTTACTTACACTCTGAGCTATTTTAGCCAGCACCGGGATGCCGTTACCAATTCCCATAACCAAAGAGTAAACCACAGCTCATACACAGCTATAAAGGTCCTATGGTGCTCAAGATCCTTATAAAAGCTTCAAGGTAAAAAACACAAAGGAAAGAACAGACAGGTAGTTTACCTCTCCAGGGAAAAAGGGGCCCAGGATGGAATAGCATATCATTGAGCTGAAGTTTATGGAAGCTGCTGCAAGCATGGTAAATAGCTGCTGCCTGGTGAGCCTTCTCGATTCCTCACCAGGTGCTTCTGGTGTGCCATCCTCTTAAATGAAAACGAAAAGAAAAACGGATAGAGAAAAGCACGATTTACAAATCAGGTTTGGAAATCAAATTCCGTGCAAAACGCCTATCCTCCTCACCACGCAGTATTTGTTCCGTACCGCAGGAGCGCATACAGGCACCACCTGCCCGGCACACGACGCAAACACTCCCAGCCGCGTTTCGGTACGCCCGTGCCCATCCCTCGGCGTCAACCGCTTCGCCCGGCGGCAGCGGAGCCTTTCCAGCCTCCGTCCCGCAAGCTCGGCCTCACGGGGCACCCACTCCGCGGGCGGGCTGCACGAAGCGCGGCACCGGCACCCACCGCAGCCCCCCGTCCCGCACCCGGCGCCGCCCCGCGCGCTGAGGCAGCCCCTTCCAGGAGCCGTCCCGCGGGGCGCCGGCCCCACTCCCACCTGGCGGCCGCTCGGGCCCCGCGCCGTCCGCCGCGCGGCTGCCCATGGGGAAGAGCGGCGGGCCCGCAATGGCCGGCACCGCCTCCTCTGGCAGCGGCCGCGTGCTGGCAACGCAACGGGGCAGGAACAGACGCCGGCCACTGAGCATGCTCGGGATGCGGCTCGTCCTGACTACGGACCGAGGGGTTCGTGGGACGTGCTGGGGTCGGAGCGGTGGGCGCGGAGAGCTGAGCACTGTTGGCCGCGTTGAGATGTTAGGGTTTCGATTCCGAGCGTTTCGATAAATCTTTATTTATCTCGGAAGTTCTAAAAGGATCCCGAGCAGCACGGTGTCACGGGGGTTTACGTGAGCTCTGTCACTCGTGTCTTCCCACTGAACCCTGCAAAAGGTGTGTCGTGCCTCGCCAGGAGCCGTGCAATCTGGCCGGCCTCCATACACATCGCACACCTGTCCCAGCAACAGCCTGTGAAGATCGCGCTGCTGTGATCGCTGGGGGCTGCGGGGCCCAGGAGCTCCTCTGCAGCGCGGCCAGCTGAGCAACGGTTTGGTGGTAAAGGAGGACCAGGCGCTGGCGGTTCCACTTTGCTCGGTGTGACCGACCTGGCGGCAGTCCCTGGAAATTTTACCACCGTGGTCAGACTGCTCAGGTGTGAATGCTGATTTGCCTGCTAAGCAATCATCCACGCAACCTTCATCAAGTTGCAGAACAGTATACAGTGTAACAAAAGGGCTGAATGGCAAAGTTGTTAGAGAATGAACGGCTCTAAAGTAGCCGGGAGGAAATCCAGGCTGGAGTTGGGAAGAAGGCAACGGGGTCAGCACAGGTTCCTACTGAGAGGGGAGGAAAATGAGGAAGGAGATGAAGAGTGAGCTGGGGACCTCTTCAAACACCAGTGAAAGACAGAGCACCTATTGCTATAGAGACAAACCAGTAACTACTTCCTAAAAGCACTATTTTAGCTGTGCCATCAGTACTCCATCTAGTCACCAGTTATAACATCAAGATGCATAATGGGGATGTTTCAGAGCAAGTGTTCCCATTTATGTTAGTTCAGAATGCCAGTGACAGTGACGAGAAAAAATACAATCCTTTCTTGACACAAGACTGGGAAGCCTTAAAGTTATTTAGCAGTTCCAAAGAACAAGGGTTCTTTTGTTGGATCATATTTTGACAGCATATTTTGTGTGGCATATGTTTACGGCTATTAATTTAAAAACTTCCCCAAGAACTATCTTGACCTTTTCCCATCTGCCTCCAGACAAAGCTATAAACAGAAATCTTTTTCACAGATGCTGCCCATTGAATGGCCTAGAAGGGAAAAATGCTTGTAAATGATAAAGGATAACAAGAAAATGTTGGTATACAAAAGCATTAGGCACAAATAAAGGTAATAAACTGGTAGAGAGAGACTGTTGGGAAGAAGAAAGCTTTCTTTTTTTTTGGCTAGAGATAAACAGCCAACTCTGTTCAGGAGAGATGAAATACTACTCCAATAGTTTCTATTCCAAGTTACTTTTCAGTGCAGACTCACATCCAAAAAATTCCAGCTTCATTCAAGACCTCATCCTCCTCTCATTAATAATTATATGCAAGTAATGAGTAGTCCAATAAAGCCTATGGAATCACATTTCCACAAAGTCCATGTGTGCAGTAGAAGGAAGAAGTATGGGAAGAAGCAGTGATGTACTGTGATCAGCATGAGCTACAGCTCAGAAAATGAGATGGGACTACAAGCTCCCTGTGTGTGCATACAGTTTAAGAATGCAGTGCTCGCTGTCATGAGAAAGAGCTGGTTGACAGAACATGTTTGTTAATTCTTTCTATTTTTTAAAAAGGGAAACTATAAAACCAGCTATAAATATTTATTAGCCTTTGAATAGGTACTTGCTACCAGCCTGTCACAGTAGCTTTTTAAGCCTTACTATTCATTTTCTTAAAAGCATACTTCAAATCTTTCTTGCTTATGTCATGTGTCCAGCAACTTTAAAAAAATCTGTATTTCAAATCCAAAGTCATTGGTAGAATTCAAGCTTTGCAGTAATGAGCTCTCTATAAACGCTCACTACAAAGAGTTTACATCCATTGTTTAGTCTGCAAAAACAAACAAGCAACAGAAACATGCTATGAAAAATGCTTTATGAATAGCTTTCTGTGTAAACATTCAGGGTATTCTGAATTGATTAGCACATGTGAGGATGTGTTTCCTATATTAGTGTACTGTATATTTGTATAGCTCTTAAAAACACTTTTGCCTTACAATCTAGAAATCAGTGCTTATTTGTATCACATGACATTTTTTCCCCAAAAATTTATAATGGCGCGCACAGGTAGTCAGAAAGTTCACTATTGCTGTAATGTAATCAAATGGTAACCACATGCTTTGAGAGTCTTGCACAGATTTTTTTTTTTTTTTTTTTTATATTTATGACATCAAAGATTTTTCTTCCATTGGTGCTGAAATGCCATAGCTTCCCTCTTTGTGAAACCCTAGAATGATCACACCATACTTTCCATAGGTGCTTGAAACTTGGTGTAGATATCTTCTGTTCTCCTGAGTAGTGGCACATGGATGGCTATTCTGAACTATTGCCTGGAAGTGCTTGGAAATACTCCTCTCATCTGTCTGGGCTGGTGAGCAGGATTTCTGTGGATATAGAACAAGAAAATGGGTAAAAGTAACTTAACCACTACTAAAAGTATTAATGATGCAAAACACTTTTTTTTTTTTGAACTGTATGACCAGGAAATGAAATAATTGTTTAACTAGCAGAGTCAAATATGCACTAATGTTATTTGCAAGAAAGCTTCCAGCCTGATGTTCCATGAAGTGAATAAATGATATTTTGGAATTAAAATTAGATAATTCTGTCTCATTGCATCAGAAATTTATCATAGCACTGCTTGTGCTTTGCATTTCTGGAAACAGACTTCACAGGGAAATAAGTTCTACAAATATTGTTCAGAACCAAAATTCAGAACTGTCTGTTCAGAGTTTAGCAGTACTGTGGACCTTTCTTGGGAGTTTGTAACAGCTGACACTTTCACCCACCCATCTGACTGCCTTACTCTCCTGTGCTCTGTCTGAACTCCTCATTGCTCAGTTCCTGAATCTCCACAGTTCAGAACACGACAGTTAAGTTAAATTTTCACAAGTGTTTGGTATTCTCAAGAAAATATGGGTTGTGGATTCTAGGGAAAGTACAAGGTGAAAGTAGAGTCTACCACAGGCAGAGACCAGGAGAGAAATAGAGAAAGGAGCATGAGAAAGACAACTGAGATACAGCAAACTGTTATATTCTCATTGCAGTACTGCTCTTTTAAAAAAGCCCCCCAGGTTCTGTTGCTGTTTAGATCACACATGATAAAAAGAGGAAAACTGCCACAATAATAAGGGAGAACAGCAGGAGGTGTCAAGGAATTTAACAGAGAGGATGGAAAATTTTTAAATATATGCAGCGAGATTGTGAGTCCAAATGGATTGTCCAGAACAGTTTGCTGGAGAGAACCAAATTCTGTCACAACATCTTGTACATATTCTTCCTCTCCACACATGCAGGTTTATAGGCAGTGTGTTATATGGTTTATAATACAAGCAGATCTCAAGAGGACTAAGTTCCTCTGATGGGCTAGCTGTTCAGTGACACATCAGGCCACTGCTGGCACGGACACCACCTCAACCCAATAGAGCACACAGGCTCTTCCACTGTATCTTTGTTTTCTAGCACTCCACTTGTTACCTCAGACATTCACCCTTATGTGGACTAGAAATACTCTCTTTGCACTGCTGTAATTCCCGAATTTTCTGCTTTGCCATGCATTCTTTCTGCAATTGATCCCCAGTTGAACAGAAGAACCTTTGCCTCTGCAGAACTCCATAAAGAACTGTGGTGCGCTTAAGTAGTTAGCATGGTGCTGAGGAGTACAGAACTGTAGTCTGTGGTTCAAATGTATAATTTCTCCTGGTTGTATGCCAGCACTTAAGCAGCAGGGTGTTAAATGGTCATCATAACTCCAAATCAAGAGTAAATACAGAGGTTAGTAAACTCAATACTCCTTTTAGGAAACTGGGCAGGATGGTACAACAGGTGGGGCAGTGCTAACAGTGTGCAGAGGGCACTCACGTGAGCACTAAGTTCACATTAGCACATTGTGCAGTGGAGTGGACTTTCAAACTGGATTATACACTTTCATTAATTATTATATACAAATACAAATAGCTACTGTGCTATACCAACATTTCAACACAGAGTCCAGTGCCAATGAAAATATCCTATCTACATACAGATAACTCTTAGCACAAGTTTATTGTCTTGCAACTGTTCTAGGAAAACTATCCTTGCATATTCTGCTCTCAGAATACTAGTCTATAATTTCACTGTGATTATGACAGATCTTTCAGATGTGCATACTTTCACCCCCCAGAGAGAAAATATATTGCACTTATGCACTTATGGCTGGCTAAGGACTTTGTGTTATCCTCAGATGACCTTGGGAGTGAGAATGGTTTATTGTTCCAATCAACACAGAAATTTCTCTATAGATTTGCTGTCGTTGGGGCTTTTCAAGAACAGGAAGATTAAGCAATATAGATGGATATAGGAAATTCTGCCTGGAGAGAGAAACAAGGTGGGCACTATAGTCTGTGTTTGTTTGCTTTCTGGGGTCTGAGCAGTATAAAGTAAATCACCGAATCACTACGGTCGGAAAAGCCCTCTAAGATCACCTAGTCCAACTGCCAACCCCTCCCTGCCATGCCCACTGACCACGTCCCTCCGTGCCACATCCACACGGCTCCTGAACACCTCCAGGGACGGTGATTCCACCACCCACCTGGGCAGCCTGTGCCAATGCCTCACCACTCCGTCAGAGACAAAATTGTTCCTAATACCTAAATTATACATTCCAATTTCTAAAACCACTCATTGCCTCTCCGGCACTCGCATCATTGTGCATCTCCTCGCTGCCTGCATTTGGCCCACACCAGGCTGCACGAATGGAGGAGATCAAAGGGCTTTGTACAAAAGGTGGCTGACAACACTGGTGACAAATGCCCACAGTTACATCAGCCGCAGACTATGGCGACCAGCATCTGTTGCCTATTTTCATTACTGTGTGGCACTCAGCTCTGGCACAGGTGAGATTGAGGATCCCACCTCAGTGACCAGGAGGGAGCACGCAAGGAGCGCCTGAGAGGAATTCAGGCTTCTGAGTCGCAGCTTAGTGCGGTGACCACCGCTTAAAGACAGCAGAGCCCGAACGACGGTTCGTTTGTTCGCAGGCTTTATTTTCCCCCATTCTTCCCCTCCGTGCCGCCAACCCAGGCGGGGCGGCAGAAGCGCATCAGGCATTGCGGCGGGCAGCCTCCGCTCACGGCTGGCGGCGGGGTCCTCGC